CGACATCTTCGATAAGGAACTGCTTGCCGTCATCCACGCCCTCGATCACTGGCGCGTATACCTTGAAGGTGCACGACACCCGTTCGAGATCTGGTCCGACCACAAAAATCTCCTGTACTTCTCTACCGCCAGAACTCTCTCCCGCCGCCAGGCACGCTGGTCACTCTTCCTCTCCCGCTTCGACTTCACCCTCGTCCACAAACCGGGCGTTACTCACCGACCCGATGCTCTGTCCAGGTGTCCAGACCTGAAAGAGGGGGTAAAATTTGACAACGAAAACCAGGTACTACTACAACCTCAAATGTTCGTCAAAAGTGCAACGGGACGAGGAACAATCGAAATGCTTGACAGCCAACTGAGACGAAAGCTAAGAGAGGTCACAGCCAAAGATAAAGAAGTAACAGATGCGATGGAACTCATCAAAGCATCCGGACCCAGAGCACTCTCAAAAGGCCTACAAGAATGGAACTATGAAGACGATCTCATCTGGCACAAGGGAAAAATATACGTCCCACCAGACGACGGACTTAAAAGACAAATCACGAAAATGTACCACAATTCACCAGCAGCAGGACACCCGGGAAGATGGAAGACCTATGTCCTAGTGTCCGATAACTTCTGGTGGCCAGGAATGTCCACGTTCATAAAAGAATATGTAACAGGATGTGCAACGTGTCAATACACCAAGAATATCACACACCCCACACGCACCCCACTCATTCCTAACGAAATACCAGAAGGACCCTGGCAGACAGTCACCATGGACTTCATTACGGATCTTCCACAAGTCGGACCATATAACGCGATACACGTAACAGTGGACAGAAGCACTAAAAGAGTCGTCTACACTCCATGCGACAAAACCATAGACGCCGAAGGAATGGCCGACCTCTATATGAAGAATGTCTGGAGACGATTTGGACTCCCACAAAAGATCATCTCCGATAGAGGTCCACAATTCGCCGCTCGATTCACGAGAGAACTATGGAAGAAGTTAGGAGTCACGACAGCGTTATCGACCGCTTATCATCCCGAAACAGATGGTGAAACAGAAAGAGTAAACCAAGAATTGGAACAATATCTGCGAGCATTCTGCAATTACGAGCAAACAAACTGGCCCGAACTACTACCATACGCCGAATTCGCACATAACATAAGGGAACATTCAGCCACGCATCAATCACCATTCGAACTCATGTACGGCTACAATCCGACCTTCGTACCCCAAATCACACCAAGGTCCGACATCCCTGGAGTGGAACTAAGACTAGAAAGGCTAGAACAACTTCGAAAAGAAACGAAGGCCAGCTTGGAAGTCGCGGCAGAATTAATGAAAAGAAAAACCGCCGAGAACGAAGTCAAGTTAGAAGCAGGGCAGAAAGTTTGGCTCTCGGGAAAAAACATTACCACTACACACCCGAAGGACAAATTAGCCCCTAAACTACATGGACCATTTGAAATAGAAAGCAAACTAGGACCAGTGACGTACAAATTAAAGCTTCCGCCAACATGGAAAATACACCCCGTATTCCACGCCTCGTTAATCTTACCCTATCAAGAAACAGCCGCACACGGCCCCAACTTCGAACAACCACCACCTGACCTCATAGACAGACAGGAGGAATACGAAGTCGAAGAAATTCTTGACAAGAGGAAACGAGGACGCGGGTATCAATACCTAGTACACTGGAAAGGATACCTGAGCTCCGTGGATGAATGGGTCACGAGAGCAAACCTAGGGAACGCTAAAGAACTTTTGGAAGCATATGACACACGACATCATAATTTACCATTACGGGCAGCCCTTGCAAACATCGGACAAACAAAGTCAGAAACATACAAAAGCCCAAATTCAATCATTACAATTCCCTCATTCCTTCAATCACTCATTCACCCTCCCAACGAACATGTCTTCCAACGAGTCCATCCACCCCTCTTCTGAAGACACTCTCATCGAACAAACGCCCTCCACCAAACCCTCCATTCCTTCGACCCCCGAGATGTCCATAGTAGAAGAACAGTCCGTACCATGGGACACAGACGAAGAACAAGCAGCGCGGGAAGCGGAAGAGGGATTCAGCGAGTATCTGGAAGGACTGGACGAGGACGAACGACGACAGGATGAGATGATCAGACTACTCACAGAGGACTTCAATAGACCTTCACCTTCCCACTCTCCCTCTCCACCACCCCTTATCCACACACCAAGCGAGGGGATCGTATTTCCCGACAGAGAAACGTATCTGACGGCTCCCGTCGCCTATATGATGGGGCTTATCGAAGGCACGCCGAACACCGAATTTGTATCGGGACCAACTAGACCGGAAATTCAGAGGGCGTTGGAGATCCTGGAAGAAGAAAGGAGCTTCGTCCGACATGCACAACGAGCCTTACAGATCAGAGAGGGAACGCTCATCGCCCGCATTAATGCAGGCGAGAGGAAGCTCATAGGTCTAGACCAGACAACGCCCCTTCGGGACACCTTTCATCCTGCCGATGATATCACCCCTGTCACCGAATATCACATGCCGACCACGGCTGTGATATCTCGTGCCTCGTCTTCGGCCTCAAATGGAGTGCCACTTCGCCCAATGCCGGGGGCTTACCCTATGGAACGCGGCAGAGGAAGGGATGTCTATAGGTTCGCACAAATATCGCCTCGCTACCACGTTGTACCCGCACGACTGGGCTTAATCCGCCCTTCTACCCGAACTCGACCTCCCCTTCCCTTCGTCGAGTATGACTCCAGCGAGTCCGACACCCAACCCATCGTCCTCCATCCTCGAGGTGCTTGAAGAATGAGACGCTGATGTCCGGTACGATGTAAAACTGCCGGGGCAGACGACGGTTTGAATCTGTTGGGCCGGTACCCACTGCCATGATGAGAAGAGGGACTCGGCTCTAAAACGCAGTCCCCGCATGGTTGGTAACAAGGTGGGGTATCATGACGTCCGTACTCAAGGGCTATCGCGTCATGACTCGACTGTGGGCAGCGAGAATGTGTGCCCTAAATATTATTTTGTACGACTCGAACTACGCGCATTGCTTATGTTTTTCCTGGACTCTTACTTACCGTCTCTGGCACTGACGGCCTAGAGGGGGGGGTAATGTTACGAAACGTCTCGCCTATGCTTACTTACTTCTTCCCACCTTCTTGATAAGGACTCATAGGACCTTTCTCCCGACTATACCTCGTGTTCCTGTTCCACTGATACTTGGTCCGTGCATCTGCTTGTACATATTTATAGATACTGCGGCGCAGTGTGGAAGCCCTAGGCTATCCACTTCTGTCCAATCTAAGAACTGCTGTTCACACAGTCTTCTCTGATTGCAAGACACTAGTCTGATCAGTCCCGATCATCCTCTCAAACCCTCTCTCATCATTCATGGCCTAGGATCCTCTCGTCCCGAACAGCCGTTCATGACATATACTCTCATTATGTGTGCTTCCATTGTATATGCTCTCATTGTATGTGCTCCTGTTGTATGTGCTCCTATTAGTTTCATTGCACTTCTTTTATAGGTTATTGGACATTTTAATCTAACTTGAGTAATGTTCCTAGAGTTTTCCACCAATGTAAAAGACATATACACAGAATGCATAGATTTAGCAGGTATTGAGTTGGAAATATAAGGATGGTTAGAGTCAGAATATTTTGCCTTGTGCTCTATGGATTTTGTCATATTTTGTCAGGTTCCCTTTTTGGATTTTTGGTGCAGAAAATGCTTTAATCAGGAGAAGAGAAATTAATAATTTGGCCAATAAAGTAATTGTTTTAGCCTCGCGCTTCGCGCTCGCCGTGGCTACCGCCGCAGTTTGTCAGGTTTGGCCCCTCGCGCTTCGCGCTCGGGTGCTCACGTGGTTTTCACGTGTTGCCACGCAAGATACTGCCCTTCCACTCTCTTTAGATAACTAGGGAAACAGGTTTTGATCTTCTGAAGAGCGGATCTACTTGGACGCCTCAACAAGACGGGACTTGACTTTCTTAGATTTGATGACGTTGATGAGCATGCACCCGCACTAGGGTCCGAGGGAGGTATTTGGGAAGCTTTGGGGAGATACCGAACAGCGCTAGACAAGTACCGAAGACGCCGACTTTTACTGAACACGGTCGGTCCCTACCCAACTGACGACAAGCCACCAAAGGACGAGTCGGCAGCACTTGGGTCAGTTCGCCCACACTTCACGTACTTACCATGACCGCACAGGAGTGTTACGATAGGTGTTTACGAGATCAGAGCCAGCATTCCGTATCGGCCGATGTCCTCCATGAGTCGGTCGGTCCTTATCGCTTATCTCCCTGACTTCCGCGTGGTCGGTCAAATGCGATCTTGCACCATTGCTTGGCCACCCTGGTCGTACGATACTTCTCCTTTATTTTTCATTGGTTCTCCAATACCTGTTCCTGCTACCTACACTCGGGCGACGGATCCCGAACGTTCAGGATTTCGACAACACTGATTACCTTTTACCTTATCACCTTCGGAACCCATATGGACATCTCATCTACCTTCTTATCTTCTCTGATCGCTAAGGCTTGGCGCCCATTCGACATCTACTCTCATTTCAGGTTTGATATTTTACTTAGAGGCGCTGTTTACTATAAAAACCTACATACAACTCTGGAATAAACCAGCTTTCGCACCCCATAGTTCAGAGCTCATTCGCACTCGTCTCAACCATCGAAATTGTCTTCATTGACTCCCGAAAACTTGTCATCCTCGTCGTTCGGCCTCATTCGCATTCATACTCGTCACTTCGCTCGTACCCCCCATCCTCCCTCGTATATTGTCAGAGTCCCGTGTGGCTCTTGAAGCACGTAGTTGTCGGTCGCGACACTACCTTCTAGTTACCGACCGAATCCCCGACTCGACCGACCGAACGTTCGGTCGGTGTTCGGCGCAGTCCCGAAACCGTTCGGGCGCTATAATCTCATACTCCCTGTTGCTTCTCAGTATGCCATTGATTTCTAAAGTCATCACTAACAATTCCTTGTGTATTAGATACTAGCTCCAGCACCCCCTGCATTAGAGGTTGTTTTGGTGTTGTGCTCGGCACTTAGAGCCACCTCTAGCGTATCAACGTTCCAGATAGCATTGAGGTACTGGGTTGTTCGAACGGGGATCAAGTCAGTGAATAAAAGAGAAACAAAAGGAGAAGACTCCTTACGTCAGGCTTGACGTTCTTGTACTTGAGTCATATAATAAAATGTGTGAGTGACGTCCACAAAGATACACAAATATCTGATACGATACCTGCAGGTAGAAAGCCTATACAATATCTCGTTAATAATGTTGCTACAGTCAATAGTCTATGCTCCCAAATGTCAACGCCGATGATAGGCGTGTGCGCTAGAAAAATGAGTAAGCAGCAGGTCAATCGATAAAATTTTACCAGCACGCACAGATTAGCGGGTCCTGGTTCGCAGTAGTCACAATCTCGAGCTTCTTCGTGGTAGGGTTGAATCCCTACGCATAACGGCACGTTAATGGTCATTGTTGTGAACGAGAAGTTCAATGTTGTTCACGTACTTCTCTTCTAAGGTGAGTTTGCATCTGTTTTCCAAGCTGACAAGCATGTGGTCCTGCATGACATCCCGTGAGAGTATGCGCACCGCTGCCGATACCATCGGATCCTGGCTTTTGTGCTCTGCCCCCCACCCCTTCCACCTGGCTCTGTCCTGCGACAAACTTGATCTGCCAAGTGAGTGCGGGCTGGAAATCATCGTGCCGATGTACTTGCTAGGCCATGTCGAACGCCTCGCCGCGCACCTGTCGACTTTCTCACTTTCGCTAAGGGCGGAAGATTTCCAGGGTGCGCAAGAGCAGCTGTGCTTTCTTGATGGAGATGCCGGATGCCTTGAACGCCCCTCTATCACTGCATGTTCAAGCCCCACATCGTCATTCACATCTCCCCTGCTGTCCATACTGCAGATGTTCCGCTCCATGCCCCGCCTGCGCTCCTTCACGCTCCTCACCGACGTGGCCTTCCGCATGTTGTCCTTTAACATACCCTGGGCCGAGCTGATGGAACTTATCCTCCGTCGGCACGCGCCGCACGTCCCTGTGCACTTGTGGTGGACAAAAGCACACAACACCGACGTCCTCGCCGTCCTCCGTGCCTGCCCGCTGCTGGTCTCCTGCACAGTCTACCTCCCCACCTCCTCGGACATGCTCCGCACGCCTGTGCTAGCGGTGCACCTGCCACACCTACAGGTGCTGTGTCTCAACATGGACACTGTCCTTAGCACCAGCTCCACCGTGGCGGTCGATGGCATGGTGTTCGACGCGCTGCAGGCCCCCGCGCTCGAGGCGCTGGGTGTGTGTGGGCCTATGGGAGTGTGTGCGGGGTCGCGTGGCCCGTGGCGGAGTTTGCAGCGCTGCTTGCGCACTGTGCAGGGTCGCTGCAGGAGGCTGCGCTGGAGCGCATTCCACTTGAGGAATGGGAGCTGCACAGTACACACGAGACTGTGCGAGTCATGGTCACGCTGCGCGGGCAGTTCTCTTGAGTCGTCCATGCCCGGGCTTCGTGACAGGACAGGGCAGCCTAGGGCAGCAGGCAGCAGACAGCAGGCAGGAGGCTACCAGCCAAATTTTGAAAATCCCATCTCTGATTCTCCTTTTTCTCCCTGGAGAGAACAAAGATCACCCATAGTTTCTGAGTTCCTCATATAGACTTCAGGTTGAGCCAAGGCTTCTAGTAAGGTACAAGTAGATACTCACAATCAAAGCTGACTGGAATCTTCAGCGCTGCTATACGGTCAACGAGCAGCATACGGGCGTGCGCTCTTGGCGCAACGATATGTACTGCAAAGACCCAATTTAGATACCAAAGCACTGAGGTAGGGGGGAGATTCTCACATATACAGTGTTTGCCAGAACCCTTTAGCGGCCCAGGAATGGTGCAAGGACGGAGGCAGGAGCCTCTCATCCGAGCGTGGGTGAGTCAGCTGCGCTCCTAGGATTTGCAGAGGGAGTCAACGAGGGAGTGGGGAGCAGTAGGGTTCCGTGAGTAATTCACGGACAGTTGTTAACAAATGTTAATAACATTTGCCTCTCCGAGGAATTTCTAACATGAGTTAATAACAGATTAATAACAATGGTATATAAAGTGTTATTAACATGTTAAAAACCGATTTATTTACATGTTAATAAAGAAAGTGGTGTTAATAACAAGAAGTCACCAGCTCCAGTCAATCTTGGAGCTGGGAATGGAAGGGGGAGCTTCAATGGGGGTGGGGGGCTCATGGCAGTGTACCTAGAAGTATCAGATAGCAGATCCGTGAAGGCCTCCTCATGGATTGCGAACTCCTACATAATATTGAGTGTAGAAGCCTGGCACAGGGGTTCTCTCTGTCAGCCATCCATGTCATCATCTGAGTCATCTGAGTTGTTGTCAGAACCAGAGCCATCCAAGGTGAAGGTGGCAGTGTCTGCCATGTCAGTGGTGCCCTTGGGTGGCGAACAAGAGACGGCAGCCTTGAGATTGTCTTCAAGATTACAGAACTTGATGGTTAGGCGCTTTTTTGGCACTTTGTCTTCAGTCTATAGAACAGATGAGCCACAGCATAGGAAAGAGAGGGATGTACATACCACATGGGTGCCATACCACTGTCCAATGACAATCATATCCATGAGCAACTGTGCATTCTGGCATCCCCGCAGCACCAAATTGAACCAAGTGAATCTTGAACTGGTCCACTTATTCAGCATTGAGTTCATGAGAATATAGAAGACTCTCTCAGCAAGCATCTAAAAATGAATAGGAAAGGTTAGTTGTAGGCAGAAGGAAGTGCAATTTTGAACATTATTAACATTATTAACATTGACATTGTGTCCCCCTGGAGGGGGCCTGTTAATAAGAGTGTTAATAATAATGTTAATAACATAAGTTATTAACATGCTAGTAATTTAGGGATTACTCACAGAACCATAGGGAGCAGGGCTGCCAAGGAATGACATATGGACTGTGGCTGCAGCAAGCATCAGCAAAATTGACCAAACATGGGATTGCCTTTGACAGATTGAGAATTATATAATCTCGAGAGCCTGCAAGCAAGGTCATATATGACATGAGTTCCGACCCGTCACTTCACGACTTTCACGCAGTGCTTAATAGTACTTCTTGGGGTTAGGGTTGAATCTGAGTTTTATAGTTTGGTTTTAAATGGCTATGAGGATTGAAATATTCTGTGTTAGTTGCAGTGCAGACTATGCATTGATTGTAGGCTACCTACAGTCTAAGTGTGGTCTGTGTATAGTCTGTGTATAATCAATTGTTAGCTATATACTTGCCACTTGATTACCTATTGCATGTGCTCTGGCTGTATGTGCTTTTATTGTATGTGCTTTTATTGTATGTGCCCCTATTGCACATGCTTTCATTGCATGTGATCCTATTGTATGTGCTCCTATTATATGTGCTTCTGTTGCATATGCTCTTATTATGTGTGATTCCATTGTATGTGCTTCTATTATATGTGCTCTTTTTGTATGTGTTCATATTGGGTGTGCTCTTATTTGTATGCTCCCATTGTATATACTCTCATTGCATGTGCTTCTATTGTATGTGCTCTTATTAGTTTTATCACACTCTTCTTATAGGTTATTGGACATTTTAATCTAACTTGAGTAATGTTCTTAGAGTTTTCCACTACTACAAAAGACATATATACAAAATGCATGGATTTAGTAGGTGTTCAGTGGAAATATAAGGTGCATTAATGGTTGGAGTCTGAATATTTTGCCTTGTGCTGTGTGGATTTTGTCATATTTTGTCAGGTTTCCCTTTTTGGATTTTTGGTACAAAAAATGTTTTAATCAGGAGAAGATAAATTAACAATTTGGCCAATAAAGTAATTGTTTTAGCCTTGCGCTTTGCGCTCACTGTCGCTAATGCCACAGTTTGCCAGGTTTGGTCCCTCATGCTTTGTGCTTGGGTTCTCACATGTTGCCATGTGAAATACTCCCTTTTTATTCTTTCTAGACTAACTTCTTACCTGTCCCATTGTGATGGTGCAACCATGTTTAATCTGAGTTTTTGTTACAGTGTTTAGTCTGAGGTTGTGTAACAATGCTTAATCTAAGTTTGTGTTATAGTGCTTAGTTTGTGGTTGGGTTTTAGTAAAGCAGCCAAGTTAGAATAGCAGTTTTATTTCAAGCATACATATAAAAAGTTAGAGTGGGGATTAAGAGTCAAAGTGTAAGAAATATGTATATAAGTTTTATAATATAGTGCTTGTTCAAGTCCTATTATAATTGTTAGCTATGTTATAATGATTATGATCCAAGACATACTATTGATTATCCAAAATGCCTTGCAATACCTTAGGTGACACTATATTGGTGGTTTTGGTCCCTTGTGAGTCTGGTGGGAATAACACCTTAATTCTATCTCCTGATGTGCAGTGTGACAGTGCAGCATAAAGTTGGCCATGGGAAAATACAGGCCACTCCAAATCCAATCCAACAAACTTAACAGACTGTCCTTGTGACTTGTTGATGGTCATAGCAAAGGCAACATGGATAGGGAATTGTCTGTGCTTCAAAGGAATAGGGCAGGCTTCTCCAAATGGCTCCAAGGTTAACCTAGGGATAAACACAATTCTTCTAGCATGTGCTCTACCCAAGATGTGGCATTTCAAGACATGTGTCCTTGCTTCAAGTAAGATGAGTCGAGTGCCATTGTATATGCCATGAGAGGGATCAATATTGTGCAAAAGAATGAGAGGACAACCTCTTTTGATATGAAGGTGAGTAAGAGGAAGGCCAGAGATATTGATAGAGTTCAAAACTCTATATAATAACTCTCTATGTCCTTGACAGAGTCAATGCTGGTCAAGAGCTTGTCTTCTCCAGGAAACTTGGCCAGAATCTCCTTGTTGATCTCAGCAACAGTGTTATTGCGCCCAAAAAAAATCATATAGTAATGAGCATGCACCTGCGCTAGGGTCCGAGGGAGGTATTTGGGAAGTTTTGGGGAGACACTGAACAGCGCTCAATAAGTACCAAAGACACCGACTTTTACCAAACATGGTTGGTCCCTGCCTGACTGACAACAAGCCACCAAAGAACGTTCGGCAGCACTTGGGTCAGTTCACCCACACTTCACATACTTACCATGACCACACAGGAGTGTTACGATAAGTGTTTATGAAATCGGAGCCAGTATTCCATATCAGCTGATGTCCTCCATGAGTTGGTCAGTCCTTATCGCTTATTTTCCCAACTTCTACATGGTCAGTCAAAATGCAATCTTGCACCATTACTTGGCCACCCTGGTTATACGATACCTCTCCTTGATTTTCATTGGTTCTCCAACACCTGTTCCATCTACCTATACTCGGGCGACAGATCCCGAAAATTCGGGACTTCACCATTGCTGATAAACTTTTACCTTGTCACCTTCGGAACCCATATGGACATCTCACCTACCTTCTTATCTTCTCTGATCACTAAGGCTTGGTGCCCATTTCAACATCTACTCTCATTTCTTGTTTAATATTTTACTTAGGGGCTCTGTTTACTATAAAAACCTACATACAACTCTGGAATAAACCAGCTTTCACACCCCACAGTTTAGAGCTCATTTGCACTCGTCTCAACCATCAAAATTATCTTCATCAACTCCTGAAAACTTGTTATCTTCGTCGTTTGGCCTTGTTTGTGTTCATACTCGTCTCTTCACTCATACCCCTTGTCCTTCCTTGTATATTGTCAGAGTCCCATGTGGCTCTTGAAGCACATAGTTGTCGGTCGTGACACTACCTCCTCGTTACTAACCGAATCACCAACACAACCGACCGAACGTTTGGTCAGCGTTCGGTGCAGTCCCAAAACCATTTGGGCACTATAATCTCATACTCCTCGCTGCTTCTCAAGTGCGCCATCTATTTCTAAAGTCCTTACTAACAATTCCTTGTATATTAGATACTAGCTCCAGCACCCCTGCATTAAAGGTTGTTTTGGTGTTGTGCTCAGCACTTAGAGCCTGTTAAGCCGGTTAGACTTAGTCGCGTGCACGTGATGCACTAGGAGGGGTTCCCTGGGCTAAAGCTGATTGTGATGGCCCAACGAATAAAGACGACGGCTCGTCTTTGGGCTTGTTCCAAGAAAGGCTGATCTGTATTGATCTTCTCCTCGAAGAGTCGAAGGAGATGCTGATTGATCACGTGTCGATGTTTGTCTGGTACGAACAAGTCTTCTCCGATACAACAGATGACTTCAGAGGGATCCCAACGGATGACTCAATAGGCAGCGAGTCCTTGATAGGTTGCAGGTGGTAGAGAATGATGAGAGCGGTGAGACGAATCCAGTGCTTTGTCAGACTGAGTATGGTTCTTTAGATCTGACAGAGATCGCGAAGCGTGAGCTGAAGGTAGCCAGACGCCGGGCGCAGTGCTGAGATCAAGATGTATACAACGTGAACAAGCTGAGGCTTCCAAGAAGCTCAGCTCTCCTATATATAGTACATGGCTATTTAGGGCGGGACGGACATATGGTCCGTGCTTCTAAATGCTAAGTACTATCAACGATCGATGCATGTAAGCCGTAGTCATTGTTCATACTCTGCGGCTCCTCGATGTAACCATATATAGTAAGTATATCAAATGTCTGTCCGCAGCAATATCAAATGGAACCGATCACGATCGACATCAGGCATCGCAACAGAAGAGGAATCATAATACGTAAGCGTTCATGCATCAGCATGTAAATGGTAGTTAGTCCGAGTCCGAGTCATGCGCGTAGTTCATGACCGTGTCCTGAGTCATGTGCCTAGACGCGTGTCAAGTCACAATCCTAGTCGTTAATAGTTCGAGTCCGAGGAAACACCTGACCTTCCCTTCTGTTCACGTGCTTATGCACGTGTTAGGACACGGTCCTAACAGAGCCACCTCTAGCATATCAACGGTCAAGGAAAAAGTGGTCTGGTTTGGGGTGCTGATCAGAGATGTCAGAATAGATAAAGTCAGTCAAGGATTTCTTAGTGTTGTTATTAAGACGCATGTTGGGAGGAAGTTCAATAGACTTGTCTTCACCAAGGTTATGGCCAGAACCAACATTGAGGAGCCATTGAGCAAAGGCATTGCTTTTAGGAGTGTAGTCTAGGCACATGTTCTGTTTGAGAGTGAGAAGTTGGATATAATTCCAGAGTGAAGACTTGCGCAAAGATGCAGCCATAATCTGCTCTCTGCTTCCTTTGGGAACCACAGGCAAGGTCTGACAAAAGTCTCCAACAAATAACACAGTAACATCACCAAAAGGAGCAGGGTTGCCCATAAGATCCTGAAGAGTGCAATTAACAGCTTCAATTCCATAGCGGTGCTGCATTGGTGCCTTATCCTAAATGACCACCCTAGTCTGATGAATAAGACCATCAAAGTCAGAGTTTTTCTCCCAAGAGCAAGAGGAGCGCTCATTGAGACCCTTAATGGGGATTTTAAAGTGAGAGTGAGCAGTGTGACCACCATCCAGAAGCAAAGAGGCAATGCCAGAAGAAGCAACACAAAGAGCAGCCTTGCCTTAAGAGTGGACAGAGGCAGCAATGGTATTGCAGACATAGGTCTTTCCACCACCTCTAACACTATGCAGAAAGAAGACTTGGCCCTGGTTGGACTAGACTGACTGCATGATAGCATCATAGGCATTCCTCTGCTCAGCATTGAAGGTCAATAGATTAGTCTCCACCTGAAGTGCAAGGTCAGCTCAAGGTCAACTTTGAAGGATGCATGGTAACTGACCTGTTCCCAAAGAGCCACATAATCATGGTTGAGCTCATCCTGAAGAAGCACATTTGCAGCTTGGTTCCAATCTTGCAAAGGCAAAGGCATAGGAGGATAGTCAATGAGGTGCTTTCCCATTCTAGTAAGGACTTTGTCCAGCAGATAGAGGCCATGATCAAAGACATCCTCTTGAGTAGGATCAGGAAAGCCCATGGCAGTAAGACGCACATGCAGATCATCACAGATTTTATCCTTGTAGCAATTCCAAAGAATAAGAGGTTGTGAAGGAATGCAGAAGTGAAGGATGGTGGCAAAGAGGGATCTAAGTTGAGTTCCAGTCTGTATATCTGCTGCTTCAGCCAATGCCATATCCCACTCTCCATCATCCTCCAAAAGGCCACATGCAAAACAGGCATCACGATAGGTAGGATATTCAATGTCTTCATAAGTACAGATATCTTTCCAGCTCTTGGCACCTTTAACCATGGTGAGCAATGTTCTGAGGTAAAAGTGTTCGCCTGCAGAGGGATGGACAAATAACATTCTGCCAATAGTAGAACTCTGCTGACGTAGAGTCCATATTTTCTTTGACTGGTTCCAGACATAGTAAAAAGGAAAGTTCTGGTAGGTATGAGCATGAGCAGCAACGAACTTTTGGTTGGCAATAAACCATTCAGTCAACTTGGTTTTCTGGGACCTGTCTCTGTTTAAGACTTCTTCAGGATTATCATCAGTATCAAAGTAAACCTACTGTTCATTAGGGAGATGGATAGGAAGACAATAGACTATGGGGGATTCCAGATGCCTTGGGAATTCAAAGATGTTCCAGCAAGCCTCCATAGGTCCAATATAGTGAGCATCCATATAGTCCTTAATCTCATCAATGTCTCCAATCTGAAGTGTAGCATGATCAGGACATTTGTAGATATACTTGTGGATATATTTAACAGCCTTGATGGATGCACAGACCTCCACATTGATATGGCAGTTGTATTTGGCAAGGAAATAGGAATTATAAGGAACAACATCACAATTGTCAAACTGCATAGTATGTCAAGTGAAGGTGCACCCATTGTTTGGCCTAGCATATGTAGGATAGCCATCCTCACTATGGAAGGTCTGCTCAGTAAAGTCCTTCTGATAGCACTTGCTACAGAGCTTGACTTTTGTGCCTCCAATATCTTTTTCTTCTATGCAACGTGCTTGAGGAAACTCAGGGCCACAGCGTCCATGGAGCATGTATCTTGTGACAGACTCATAAAGCATAGGATGGGCAGCAGGATCTGGGGGCTGGGCAGAGACAATCCTATCCACATCTTCAGCACTTTGAATCCTGTCCTATACATCAAGAAAAAGAAGAAGGTGCATATGAGGATGACCACGCTTTTGAAACTCAATAGAATAAACTATCCCTGCCACCTTGCCAAACAGGCCCTCCTTGATATCCTTTATAAAAGTCTTCATCTTCAAGGCAAACACACGTGCAACCAAGTCTGGACAATCAGAAGGCTGTTGAGTTGAACCACCATTATATTTTAAGAGCTCTTCAGTGATCTCTAGCCAGTTAGGGTTTGCAGTCATGGTAATAAAGATGTCAGGCTTGTGGCAGTGGCGAGTGATAGCCATAGAATCTTGGAAAAGCTGATACATATAACATGGACTGCCTGCATGAGTGGAGAGAAGCACAATATGCTTTCCCCGCTGGCCTAGGTTGACCTCAGCTTCTACATAGATAGCATCAAACAATAACTGGTACTTTCAGCTCTTATCTCCTTTTGATGGTTCCTGATCCAGAGAAGGTTGCTAGACTCAGTGGATGCCCAAGCATCAACTATATATTGCTGGAATAGCTTGCCAGCTCTAAAGATGGTTTCAGGATCAAGCAGATGGTGCATAAGACAATAGGCATAATAGCAGCACTGAGACACCTTGGATGAGAGCATTTGGCCATTAGGTCCAGGATAAGCAGGAATATTGGGATGAAAGCCTTGTTCATCATGTGAAAATAATGTCACATAATGCAAGGGACTGTAGTGAGGGTGAAGATGGCTGAAATGCCTTAGACCTCCATGGTTATAATAGACAACAATATCTCTGTGCAAGTCTACTTCCTCATCTCTTATCTAGGAATGATGGCAGCAACTTTGTCTACAGTAGGCTCATTATAGCAACGATGATCAGTATTGGGCAAGATAGCAATGTGGGCTGTAAGCTTGTCTTGTTCTCCAGGATTCTTGTCTGCCATGATTTGATAGGCATGGTGGTACAGGGGAACATAAGGATTATGTTCATGGAACATGTCTTGCAAGTTATTCATGGTTTCAGAATTCAAGTTACGATTGGCATGCAAGCACTGATTGAGTGCAGCCTAAGGATCTATAACATAGAGCTGAGCATAAAAGGGCTTGACTTTATCAGGAGGCAGCAAAGTGCCCATCTGATGATAAAGTTCTCCATGGATTTTAAAAGAATAAGGCCCAGTAGTAGAGGTAACATGATCTGACAGCTTGGCAGCAATAGAAGCGAATGCAAATGCACTATTATATTGTCTAATATTGAGCCTAAATGATTTGGCATTCTCAGTGTCCCCATAAAGCAGATTACATAGTATTTGAGGAGGGTTCAATAATACAGGCAGCCTAATTTGGCCTTGTAAATAGCACATGCCAAAGTGGATATCATTGAAAGTAGATGCTGACAGCTTTTCAGATGAAAAGTGAAGGGCCTTGCAATGTGAACATTCAATATCCATTCAGCCAAGACTGTGGCATGTATCAGGCTCTTGATAAGGACGACATCCCAAAGGTAGCTGCTGCATAACTTGATTTTGAGCCAAAGCCTGTTGGTTTTGCTGAATGGCCAGGTAATCCTCCTGTGCCTGCTCTATAGCATGTATATCACGTGCCTACTCTGCAAGCTCCTCCTGGTGAAGAAGCTATTGTTGCTGTACCAAGTTATGATAGTGTTGTTGCTGGAGAAATGCCTGATGATGATTTTCTTCCTCTTGCCTTTGAACATGTCTTTGGTGAGTCTCTGACAGTTGTTGGCGGACCTGATCAAGACGCTGTTGATGAATGGAAGCTCTATAATGATCAAATTCCTGCTGCTCTTGCTAGTATTGTAAAGCCCACATATTATGCTGAGATGGTAATGAAGGATGTGGATAATGGACAGAATCAAGAGAAGGAACTATTGCTTCAGGCCTTGTACTCTCTCTGAGACGCTGTCTACACTCTGCATGACTTTGTTCAAAGTTGTCCATCATGCAATGCTCATAGTCAAAATGGCTAGCTGCTGCAAGACGTGAGCGAGCCTGTCGATCATGATTCCCAATCAAATGGCGTTGATACGCTAGTGATGCCTCTGAGTGCGAAACACACCCAAGAAACACCCCTACAAGCGCAGGTAGGCAGGAGCTAGTTCTAGTGTGCAAGGAACTATAAGCTGTGCAACAACCAACAAGGGAGCGTACTAAAAGTGTTCGGAGTGTAGTGAACAAACAACTCAAAAATCGAAGTATTCAGTCGGTCAGTCAGTCGGTAGGTCGGTCAGTCAGTCGGTAGGTCGGTCAGTCAGTCAGTCAGTCGGTAGGTCGGTCGGTAGGTCAGTAAGTCGGTAGGTCGGTAAGTCGGTCAGTCAGTCAGTCAGTCGGTAGGTCGGTCGGTAGGTCAGTAAGTCGGTAGGTCGGTAAGTCGGTCGGTCGGTCGGTCAGTCGGTAGGTCGGTCGGTCGGTAGGTCGGTCGGTCGGTAGGTCGGTCGGTCGGTAGGTCGGTCGGTCAGTCAGTCGATGTTTGATCGGGATTTGATCGGGATGCAAAGGGAAGGGAATGGGTGCAAGGCCACACTGGACCCTGGCAGAGGATGACAAACTAGATGAGAGGGAGAGAGCAAGACGACGAGGGCTCTGGCGGAGGGCTATGATCGAACGCAACAACACAAACAAAAGGGCAAAATGCGAACAAGGATTGGAAGGCAATGGCTCAAAGTCTCATGGACACAAGCGCACAAATGGAATTGGAACAAGGGGGGAGCCAAAGCTGATGTATTGCAAAGCCATAGGTGCCCTTTTATAGTAAGTCCAAACAGGTACAAGATAAGGAGATCGGCAGAGGCATAGAGCAATCGGAAATGCGTGCCAAGAGTGATCAAAGGTAAAGAAGATAAGGGAGTGATGTTGCAAACACTATAAGATAAGAAGCAATAACTCTAAAGTCTAAATAAGTGGAGAGATTGCCAAGGTGAGTCCACATGGACCTGGAGATAAGAACCACATGCCACATGGGTAAACCATTTAGAAACTTGGGAGCTCTGAAGATAACAAAGGATAGGTCAACAGAAGGCATAAGGACGATAAGAGATAGAAAGACAGATCCGTTCTGAGTCAACAAAGTGTTCGGCCGCCTCCGATTCGGGACACCAAAGCCGACCGAATGTGCCGACCATGTGAAGTGTACCGAACCGATCGGCGATTGGCCGCGACAGTCTGTGGGGAGCCCCTACTGCTGAGAGTGATGATAGATGGATAGGATGACTGTGAACAGCTCCGAACGACTGTGCGGAGGTCTAAATGCAAAGTCGGCACCTGACAAATGGCTGAGATCGCCGAACGGATCGGGATCAGTCGGTCCTAAGTATGCCGAACGGTCAAAGAATACTGAAAAGCTGCGAAAAGTGGGGTATTGGTGCCTAGAGCATACCCATGCTCATCAGCGTGGAAGATTTGGATGGGCAGAAACATTCACAGGCTAATAATGAGGTGGTGGTGCAGGCATTGGAGGAGGAGCATAGATAGGATACTGTCCAGGAATTTGGTAAGCTATAGCACCATAATAAACAGAGTGTTGGAACATGGGAGCAGGATAAAAATGAGGAGGAACATATTAAGCAGGATAATATGATAGAGCAAAGGAAGCAGCAACTGCAGAATAGTATGACTGGACAGGAGGAGCAAGTGTGGCAGGCTGGTGAAGCTGAATGGGTGGTGCAAGAGAAATAGGAGGCTGAGCAGGATTAAAAGTAGCAGAATGGGAAGGTCTAGAGAGATCCTCAAAGACAGGCTGACAAATAAAGCCTCATAATGCAGAACGCTCGCACCGAAGAGTAGGAGAAGTCATCTGAAGCCTTTCAGCACACTCTTGCTTCCGCACAGTCTGGTGCTCATGCTTAGGAGTCCTAGGAGGAGTTCTTATAAACCCTAAAATTAATAAACAAATTTTGTGTGGTTTAACAAAAACTGCATACCTTGTCATAGTCACATCCACATGGGTAGCCTCTTCAACAGCCTCTTGGTTTTCAACATGTCTCTAAATTTTTCTTTTTAGCCAATGACCATCAAAAATTTAAATAAAACCACATGCCTATTGAGATTCTCAGGTGGAGGAGTCATATAGAGATCATCCTCATCTTCACTATTATTGGCATTCTCACTATAGCAAATATGAGTACACACAACCAATGAGCAAAAAGTAAAACACATACTTATGTGCAGTCACAGGTGGAGGAGTCATATAAAGATCATCCTCATCATCATCTCTAAAGAGAATTTTAGCACTGAAACAGTATCCAAGCAAGCCAAAAATACTCACAAAGGTGCCAATGCAGGCATCTAGACTTCCACCACACCCTCGTTAGGAGGCCTACAAAAAGAGTTGAGCACAATAGACATGATGCAAGCAACACAGACTTACAAAGGTAAAACACTCATTGTGAAAAGCTAAATAAAAAAAAACACCTGCAAACAAAACCAAGAGCCAAGAGTGGTTGCCAAGCTAAGCACTCACTAAATGTTCCCTCATAGTTTGCCTGAAGAAATTGCCGCAAGACAGTGCCAGGGGAAGAGGATTCCCAATGCTCTTTAACAACTCAATGTCACTCGTTGTCTGCAAAGCAGGTCATTGTGACTGTGAAATTGTGGTAAAAGGTACCTGAGCAACTGAAACACCATAGGATGAGAGAGGTCTAGGCAGCTATGAAAAGACTGCTTTTAGCTACAGCAAACTAAGGCCATGCTGGTGGACTTCACACCCTGTAGGCTCTTTCTAAGCAGAATCCATGCTCAGAGACACCCAGTAGAGCAGAGTAGAGTTTGAGAGAAAAGCCAGTGAGGAATAAAGCAGAGGAGAGCACAGATGAGGGTCCAGGACAGAGATGATGGTGGTTGGTGGCAGAAATCCAATACCGCAAGCCTTGCGCAGAAGCACTAACTTATCGAATTTCAAACTCCGATGCACACCAAGGCGCCACTCGCTACGCTCGCGTGGCCTGCCACGTGTGCCACGCGAGCATAAGCGACAATATGCAATATTAGCCAGTGGAGTTTTGCCACAATTCTTCACTGTTGCCCTCTATTTAGGGACTAGCTTTTTACCCGTCGTGTTGCGACGGCGCAACCATGCTTAATCTGAGTTTTTGTTGCAGTGCTTAGTCTGATGTGCCTGTAAAGTCTAGTGCCTGTAAAGTCCAGTGCCCATAAAATCCAGTCCCTGTAAAGTCCAGTGCCTATAATGTCCAGTGCCTATAAAGTACAGTGCCTATAAAGTACAGTGCCTGTAAAGTCTAGTGCCTGTAAAGTCCAGTTCCCATAAAGTCTTGTGCCCCAATATCCCTATATGGCTCTTTTATGATATTCTATAAGGTCCTTCCTATAAGATTCCCATATAAAGCTCTCTATAAGGTCCCATCCATTAGATTCCCCTATAAGATTCTGCCCTATGAGGCTCCCCCATTAGGGTCCCACCCATGAGGCTCCCCTGTGAGGTTCCCTGTAAGGTGCTAGAATGCCATTTCAAGCTCCAATGGCTGCAGAGGCATAGCCCACTCTAGTTGCTAGGGTTGCTAGGAGTACCAAGACATGGCTTACTCTACTTACCCCATTTGTCATGGATGCTTGCTTTGCTCACATGGTGTCTTATGTGGCCTACATAAGTGTAAGCAAGGACATATGACTTGAGCTATTAGCCTAGTGCCACCATTTCTTATTGTCCCCTTCTATTTATTATTTATTTACATTTAAAAAATACCTGCAAACAAAACCAAGAGCCTAGAGTGGTTGCCAAGCTAATCATTTGCTGAATGCCCCCTCATAGTTTACCTGAAGAAATCACTGCAAGACAGTGCCAGGAGAAGAGAATTCCCTATGGTTAGGTTAGCCCCAGGCACACGCGCACTGACTAACTCTATTTCAAACTCTAACATGCTCCGTTTTGCCTCCCAAAGCCTATGGGACAGTAGTCTTACGTGGTTTGTCACGTAGGATTAACCGGTGGCTAGTTGCCACCGGACCCTTACTGTTGCCCTCTATTTAGAGACTAGCTTTTCACCCATTGCGTTGCAACAGCACAACCATGCTTAATCTGAGTTTTATTGCAGTGCTTAGTCTGATGTGTCTGTAAAGCCTAGTGCCTGTAAAGTCTAGTGTCCATAAAGTCCAGTGCCTGTAAAGTCCAGTGCCTATAAAGTCTAGTATCCACAAATTCCAGTGCCTATAAAATACAGTGTTCACAAAGTCCAGTGCCTGTAAAGTCCAGTGCCCATAAAGTCTTGTGCCCCAATATCCCTATATGGCTCTTCTATGATATCATATAAGGTCCTTCCTGTAAGATTCCCATATAAAGCTCTCTATAAGGTCCCATCCATTAGATTCCCCTATAAGATTCTGTCCTATGAGGCTCCCCCATCAGGGTCACACCCATGAGGCTCTCCTATAAGGTTCTCTATAAGGTGCTAGGATGCCATTTCAAGCTTCAATAGCTGCAGAGGCATAGCCCACTCTAGTTGCTAGGGTTGCTAGGAGCACCAAGACATGGCTTACTCTGCTCACCCCATTTGTCATGGATGCTTGCTTTGCTCACATGGTGTCTTATGTGGCCTACATAAGTGTAAGCAAGGACATATGACTTGAGCTATTAGCCTAGTGCCACCATTTCTTATTGTCTCCTTCTATTCATTATTTATTTACATAAAAAAAATACCTGGAAAAAAAATTCAAGAGCCCAGAGTGGTTGCCAAGCTAAACACTTGCTGAATGCCCCCTTGCCTGAAGAAATCACTGCAAGACAGTGCCAGGGGAAGAGAATTCCCTATGGTTAGGTTAGCCCCAGATGGATTTAGATGGATGGATGGATAGATGGATGGATGGATGGATGGATGGATGGATGGATGGATGGATGGATGGCAGGATGGATGGATGGATGGATGGATGGATGGATGGATGGATTTTCGCTCGCTTCACTCCCTGATCGCTTTCCGTCACCAGTGGAGAATACAGCTAGCTTGGTCTCAGGAGTACGTCCGTACAGGACATTGTTATTATCAGGATGGCGAGTGTTCATCGCTCATCCTCAAGTACACCTCGCTGATTCTGATTGATCTGGAATTGAACAGGCTGAGCAGGAGGAGGAATAAGCTATTGATCCGCAGGAGAAGGAAGAAGCTATTGATCCGCAGGAGGAGGAAGAAGCTATGGTCACTGTTCGCGAAATGCTCGATCTCATCCCCCCTGGTAACCCGATTCGCCCCTCCTTCCTCAACGGCCTCGCGGGTAGCTTAGGCCTTCGTTTCGAGCGGACAGGGCAGATGCAGGATATTGATGAAGCGATAGAACTTGGTCGCGAAGTGATCGCTTTCCAACCCCCTGATCATCCGGCTCTCCCCTTGCTCCTCAACAACCTCGCAAATCACTTGAGCTCTCGTTTCGATCGAACAGGAGAGACGCAGGATGCTGAGGAAGCACTTAAATATAAGCGCGAATCGCTTGCTCTTCAACCGTTTCGTCTTGAGCATCTCGCTACCATCCTCGACCACCTCGCAGCTCACTCACACTCTCATTTCCAGTGGACGGGACACATCGATTTCATTGAGGAAGCGATCAAATTTGCTCGCAGAGTGCTCTCTCTCTGTCCTCCAGGTCATACAGATCGCCCCAGGTCCCTGACTAACCTCGCATCTTACTTGGGCTCTCGTTTCCAGCGGACAGGACGGATGCAGGATCTTGAGGAAGGGATCGAATTTTATCGTGAAGTACTCACTCTTCAACCCTCCGGTGATCTGGATCTCTCCTCGTCCCTTGACAGCCTTGCAAGTCTCTTGAGTCTTCGTTTCGAGGAGGCAGGACAGATGCAAGATCTTGAGGAAGCTATGGAATGTGGTCGCAAAGCGCTCGCTCTCCAACCCCCTGGTCATTTGGATCGTTACACCTCCCTCTACAAACTCGCAGCTTTTTCAAGCTCTAGTTTTGAGTGGACGGGAAGTATGCAGGATCTGAAGGAAGCAATCGAATGTGGTCGCGAAGCCCTCGCTCTTCAACCCCTTGATCATCCAGATCGCCCTTCGACCCTCGAGAACCTCGGAGATCAATTGAGCTTTCTTTTCCATTGGACGGGACAGATGCAGGACCTTGACGATGCGATCGAATATTGTCGGGAAATGCTCGTTTTCCGACCACCTGATCATCCAGATCGCGATGCGTCCCTCAACAACCTAGGACGCCTTTTGAGCTCTCGTTTTAACATGTCAAGACAGATGCAAGACCTTAACGAAGCGATACAACTTGCTCACGAATCGCTCGCTCTCCAACTTTCTGATCGTCCTAATCGCGATGCCTACCTCCACCACTTCGTATGTCTATCACGCTCTCGTTTCGAATAGACTAGACAGATGGAGGATGTTGATGAAGGAATCAAATATGTTCGTGAAGGGCTCGCACTGCGAGGTCCTGGTCATCCGGAGAATGCCGACTTTTTAATCGTCCTCGCATTGTTGTTGCGCTCTCGTTTCAGACGGATTGGACAGATGGAGGATATTGAGGAAGGAATCAAATCTGCTCGCGAAGCGCTCGCACTGCGAGGTCCTGGTCATCCGGACCGCGCCACCACTCTCATTGCCTTCGCAGGTGTGTTAGACAGTCGTTCTGAGCAGACAGGACAGATACTGGATGTTGAGGAAGGGATCAGATATGTTCGCGAAGCGCTCACACTGCAAGGTCCTGGTCATTCAGATCGCGCCCACACTCTCATCATCTTCGCATATATGTTGGGCAGTCGTCATGGGCGGACAGGTCAGATACAGGATCGTGAGAAAGCGATCGAATATACTCGCGAAGCGCTCACTCTCCATCCCCCTCTTCCGGATCTTCCCCTTTTTCTGTCTCGCCTCGCATATCACTTGCATCTTCGTTTCGGGCAGACAGAACAGATCCAGGATATTGAGGAAGCGATTGAATACTCTCGCGATGCACTCGCGCTCGCGCCCCCTGGTCATCCGTTTCTCCCCTTGCTCCTCGACAACCTCGCAATTTACTTGCGTTCTCGTTCCAACCAGGCAGGACAGATGCAATTTCTTGAGGAAGCGATCGCAACTCATCGCAAAGCGCTCGCTCTCCGACCCCTTAGTCAAATGGATCGCCCTCATTCCCTCCACAACCTCGCAGTTGAACTGTACTCTCGCTTCGGGTGGGAAGGACAGATCCAGGACCTCGAAGAGGCCATAGAATATCATCGGGAAGCGCTCGATATTTGTCCTCCGGGACCTTCTCATGCTATCTTTCTTACTGATCTCTCTTTAACTTTGTTGGCTCGCTTTCGAGCGACATCCACAGAGATCGATCTAAGGGAAGCCTTAGATGTGCTTGCTACTGCAACTGAATCTCGAACTGCCTCTGTGCGGAAAAAAACTCTCCATTGCAAAAGTGTGGGTCGAGTCAGCTCGCGAGTTTAGACACGACTCCATTCTTTCGGCATATGCAAAATGCTTAGTCCTTCTTCAACACAACCTTGTTATCGGCCCCAGCTTGGAGTCTCAGTGGGAATCTCTGACCAGAGACTCTTCTTCGACTGCAGTCGATGCTGCATCATCTGCGATTGACGCAGGGCAGCTGGATATCGCAATCGAGATGCTGGAGCAAGGAAGAGCCTTACTTTGGTTCAAAATGAAGGGTTATAGGCAGCCTGTCCAAGAGCTTCGCGCCATCAACGAAACACTTGCCGATGAGTTCGAGACGGTCAGCAATCAGTTAGAGAAGCTTGCCACTTCACAAACAAGTGGTGCATTAGAACGCGGCCCAATATTCAGCACTGCGTGGGATGACATGTGGACTGAACAGCGTAGGCTGTCAGATAGATGGGATGCGATAGTCAGACAGATCCGTCAGATTGAAGGGTTTGCAGATTTTCTACAGCCAGTACCATTCGGACGTCTCAAGCACGCCGCTGCCGAAGGACCTGTCATTATCGTTAACGTCTCTTCGTACAGATCAGATGCTTTGATCCTCCGCGACGCCACTTCTTATCCTACCCTCGTTCGCCTCACGGACTCATTACACGACCAAGTCGGAACACTGTCTGATCAGCTCGACCAACTTCGTAGGCAGGATGAGCGTACCAGCGCCGCAGCGCTGCAGGATGTTTTGTGCGCGCTCTGGAAACTCGTCGCTCAGCCAGTGGTCGATCAACTCAAGATCCTGGGCGTTGCGGAGAAATCTAGGATCTGGTGGTGTCCGACTGGAGAGCTCTGCTCTCTCTCACTGCACGCTGCTCACCCCCTTGTCACAGGCGAAAGTGGTCTTCCTGATATATTTGTATCCTCCTACACTCCTACACTCTCTTCCCTGATTTCCGCAAGGGAGAACATGCCTGAGATTCGATCTAAATACCCCCAAATCCTTGCTGTCGGTCGACCAGACGGCTTTCTGCGACGTGTGAATGCGGAGTTGGAGGAGATACAGGGCCTCGGAGATTTCGTTGATACCCTTGTCGAGGACCAGGCAACGCCCGATGCAGTGCTCACGAATCTTCAAACCCATCCGTGGGTTCATATTGCTTGTCATGGTCATCTGGACGGCTCACAACCGTTCAAGTCCTCGTTTGAACTATATGGAGGCTCCCGCTTGACTGTGAAGGGTCTCCTGCAAGCCCGCCTTCCCAACGCAGAGTTTGCATTCCTGTCTGCCTGCCATAGTGCTGCAGGCGACTATGTCCACACGCCAGACGAAGTTTTTCACCTTGCTGCGGCGACGCAATTCTGCGGGTTCCGGAGTGTTGTCGGGACGCTGTGGGCAATGGCGGATGACGATGGGCCGATGCTCTCTCGGGAGTTCTACAAGTACATGTTCCGCCACAAGGACCCAGCAAAGGTGGATTTCAAGGACTCGGCGATGGCGCTGAGATCTGGGATTAACGCGCTGAGGAATGCGGAAGTCCCATCTCACCGATGGGCCGCGTTTGTTCACATCGGTGCATGACGGACGTCGACGAAATTACAATTGGTGTGTCCTACGTGTTTTCCGTCGACAACATCCACTCACAAGTATGCCACAGATGTTTTTCAACGTGTAGAGTCAGAGAAGAACGCTGTTCCTTCACACTTCCCCGTATTCGGAGTTTCGAGTTTTTCTTATGACTTTTTTTTCGCTGGTCCAGTCATGACCTTGCTATTCACGTTGTGATCTCGTACAGAGATCGTTGTCATTGTCTTGGCTCTGTTCGCTCCCACTTGTATCGCTTCTCCATTTGTTTTCAATTTCTTCTGCTTTGCTCGTTCGCTGTCTCTCGCTTTGCTCGTTTGTTGTCTCTTACTTTGCTCGTTTGCTGTCTCTTACTTTGCTCACTGCTATCTCTTACTTTTTCCGTTTGCTGTCCCCTGCCTTGCTCGTTTGCTGCCCTTGCTCTTACTACTACGTGATAGCCAGATTCAAAGCCTTGCACAGATGCTTTTTGATGATTCACCTTGTCGAGCCTACTGTTACCTACCCAGCGCGGGATCCTAAGGAGCTCGGTTCGATGTACTCATGTTTAGAACTCTCTTCTACAATGTTCTTTTTGCGCTTGCTCTGCACGTTCTCTATATGTTTCCCTGCTTTCCTGTATGTTTCCTGTCCTTTGCTTTGCTCTTGGTACTCCTGGTACTCCTGGTTCCATCATGTCGCTTTTCCCTGCCACTGTGTCTGACCTTCGGTCCTCTGTCTGCGGTTATTTTAGCTCATAACATCGTCCCTTGTCCATGATTACTTCGTGGTCCTAGACTCTCAGGGTTGTGCCATTTCCAAGAGATTCCTGGAGAATACGTCTAGTACAGTAAAACGAGTATATGCTTCACCCCGGTCGTCGCAGGATTTGAGTTCTAGGGATCTAAGGATGTAAGTCGTGCCTGTTCTGGTGTTATGTTTGCCTCGCAACGTAAAGCCTCTCTTTTGGAACTTTGAACCTACGCTCATTTTACCGTCTCTCGTACATTCCTCCACAGAGCCTGTTTCACAGAGAACATTTGTCGACTTGGAGAGCGCTCGACAGCAGCATACCTTACTTGCATGATACGAGCTTACCCGCGCCTTCAGAGAAGCATTTTGAGGAACAAAACAATATCCGCAAGTCGGTAGATGTACGCACGAAAGGGATTGGCGTAGCGGGTCCACAAAGAAGGGCCAGTATCCATGTCAATCCTTCTTTAACTGTTCTCATCGTCGGAACGGGTGTCGATCGTACTCAAAACGCGAAGTAGGAAGGCACATTACAGTGATCGGGTAATAGACGTTGAAGAGATGCAGAAAGCAGAACGAATATTTTGTACGTTAGCAACGGAGACCCGCACCAGGAGGGTACGATGAGAAATGAAAGGATACCAGGCGATTCTACAAGGCATGCAGCTGAGCAGCTCGCGTTCTCGGCATTCCAAACTCCAGTGCAAGACGGAGGACAGGAAAAGAACGTGGGAGAAGTTAGTGAGAAGTTCGGTACGCGAAGCACGTGGCAATATGCGACGCGTTGAGTCTGCCAGGCTGAGCCTCTTCGTCCTCCACTCTCTTTCTGCCGACCTATGGTCCTCTTCCCTGAGCCATGAAGCCGAAGAAGGATGGAGAACATTACAATTCGAGTCTGAAAAGCATAGAGAACCCATCTGTCGTCCCAGGCAGCGAAAAAGAGAGGTATGCTCACCCCCACGTCTACAGCCAGGCACGTGCTAATATGATGAAACTTATTCCTTCGAAGACGGAAGGCACAAACGACGTGGAAGAAAGTCACAGTCAGCGAGGATGTCGAAGTAATTGAGATCATCTCAAGCGACGAGTCCGGCGACGAGTCGTAAGTGGTGCGTTTACAAAAGCTCCCTCATCTCACTAAGCGTGTGTGGTCCGCCTTACACACTAAAGTTCAAATACAAAGCTGCCCTCTTCGCAATTGGACGGATCTCATGCAAATTTGCTAAAGAGGCCTGATGATGAGAAGACCGAGGATGAGGCGGAAGCTTCGGAAAGAGAGGTGTCGATTCCAAGGTGAGACTATCAGGAAACCTCCGACTACCATATTTCTAACCAACGCTACTCCTCACACTCCATTCCAGAAAAACTGGAAGTGCAGCGACAGGGAAAAAAGCTCAAGTTTCTCGAAAGAAACAATCACATCGTATAATATACAGCTCCGAGTCCTCAGACGACGACAACCTTTCGCCTGCATCGAAGCCAGCCTCCACCGAAGTCATAGAAATCAGCTCGGGCTCGGATTCTGGCGACGAATCCTCGGACGATGATGTGACGATACCTCCTTCACCTGTTTCCCTGTTGAGAAGCAAGAAGCTACGAGAATCCATTCATGATGAATCTTACGAATCAGACGATGGAACCATATTAACGCTGTAACGATCACATCTCTGTTATACATTTGTCTCTTCAACATCTGAACATTCTCTTCAGGGACGACCCAAAGTCTGCACGCAAGCCAGTGCGCCTACTTCCGCCCAACGGGATACTCGCGGGCCCGAATCGCCTCTCCCAAATGCCATCAACGCCCGTCAAACTTCGCGCGACAGATCCCAGCACGCCACACACTCTGCGCGCAGACTCGACCCCGCACCCGTTCCCTGCACTCCCTTACTCGCCCTCGTCGTGGCCTCTGGTCCCTCCGCGCACGCCGGCGAAGCCACGCACCCCCGCGCCTGCCAGGCTCCCCCGCACGCCACGCACTTCGAAGAAGGCACTGGCGCTCGCGGCGCAGGCGGACCTCGAGGCGTATGCTCAGGAGCTATTCGATGAGCTCAACGAGGACGTGTTCAAAGGCGGGTTGCCGGCTAGCACGAAGCTCGTGTGGAGCAAGCGGCTACTCACAACTGCAGGTCGTGCAAAGTGGCACAGGTATGTCTGCGTTTGCGATGCGATGCTCGTCTTCAGGCCACAACCCCCTTAGGCGACAAGAACCTGATAGTACCACATTCTAGGTCGAAGGATGGTGTACATACGACAGAGATCGAGATGGCGACAAAGGTATTGGACTCCAAAGGTCTGCAGCACGCACGACACCCCGCGGCTCAACAGGGTTGATTAGAGCCTGTTAATTTAGAACGCATCCGGAACACGCTCTCCCATGAGATGTGTCACCTCGCATGTTGGATCATCAATCAAGAGGCGAAAGAAGGTCACGGCAAGGTGTGGAAATCATGGTACGCAGTATATCGCCTACCTTTCTAAGAGAGCGGCGTCTTGTTGACCTCTTGCCCTCATACTATCAGGGCTGCGCGAGTGATGCGCAAACGGGACGATATCGAAATATCTGTACGCACGTTCTCGTCGCAAATATCAGATATCAAGGGCAGAGCTTGATCCTCAACTGTTTTAGACGCGACACGACTACGAAATTTCGTACCCTTATCAGTGGGGTAAGCCATGCTGTCTCCTTCATAGCCGTTGATCGTGGTATCAATGTATGTCGCACAGAGTGTGCGGACTGTGCCAAAACGTGGGCTCACGACTCTTGATCTCATCGAGAGAGCACTGTACTCAAGGTCGACACTGGTCTACTATAGATATGGTCGTTTCAGCAAGTCGATCCGACCTGATGAAGTTTGTATGTTTTTCCTCGCACCTTCATATCTATATGAGTAGCTTTTCAAACTACGCTCTCTTTTCTCGATATAGTGTGCGGCGCTTGCAAGACCGGCAAGCTCCAGCCTCTATTCTCTGTTCGTGCGACACGGACGCCAAAGACGAAGGCAGGAAGTAATCTGGCAGCAGATAAAGCGCGTGGTACGTGTCTCTCCCTGTCCTTGCCGCCGTATCACATAGATCCAAGTCGTACTTACATAACGCGCGCTCGAGATTCCCCGCGCACAATCGCACACGTCGATTCGGACGTCGAGCTATTGGCGAACACGGTGGGTGGACTGCGGATTGAGGAGTGATGTGGGACGTGGTATACCCTGCAGACACAGGTGCTCTGTATTGGGATCTACGGTCGTTTTTCTTGACAGCATGTCACTATGCGTTTAGGTCACATGACAATTTGCGGTTTGGTTTTTCTATCGACATGTTCGCTGTCTGCCTGATGGCATGACTACAGGAAGGTCTTGCGATGATTCTCTATTCAGAACAAGCTCGCCAACGTTTCTTACAGTAGTCTTTTAAGTGGATGAACATCATATGTATGTGCTACTCATCGCAGGCAGGGTAGCTGACAATGCTATCAAATTAGATATTACTCGGTATACATCATTGCTCGGTTTAAGCCAGCCAACCCACACAGTCGAAGAGAATATTACATCTCTCCGTACATCATTCCTACAAGTTCGTGCTGCTGCAACTGGTTCCTGCAATCTATGCAGGCTCAACAGGAGACATGGCTTTCTCTTGGGCCACATCTTCCTGGTCCTGCGGCAGTGGCGGACCCACATAATGATGCCTGCCACCTGTAGATCCGCACAACTGTTAGAATACAGAACGAGCACAACCGACTTGAAACATTGAGATGACTGACCGATGACATACCACACTCCGCTGAACAGCCCAAAGCCGACGAACACAACAGACGCGTAATCTGGACCGACGAGAAGATTCGCGAGCATGACACGTAAGCCAATACTTATTTCAGGCTGCGACAGGCAAAGTACTCACTCATCGAGACCTTGGTCACAGGCACCACTGCCGGCATGCAAAACAGCACGATCGCGAACGCGATCCACAACACCGCGAGTGCGTTGACAGCCGTCCCCCACCTCCCGAGACTGAACAGCTTCTCCCCACCACTGTATCCTCCTTCGCTCGAGTGACCCACTAAAATCCTACGTCCACCCACGAGAGAGACAGCGACGGGCATCGCGTACGACGCGCCAAGGCAGATGACACCGACGCCTGAAAACGCGTTGAACGCGGCAGACGAGCCGAGGTATATCAAGCCGAGAAGGACTTGGACCGCGGTCGAGAGGAGAAAGGCGTTCAGCGGGAGCGGGTCTGCAGCAGAAGCAAAGGGGGGAGCGGTCACGCGCGAAAAGACAGACGAGAAGGGAAGCGCGTTGTCGCGCGCGAAGGACCATGTCGCGCGGGAAGCGGCGCAGGAGATGGAAATAGCGCAGAACATGCCGATGCCAAATACTGAGAGGGACTTTGGTCAGGAGATCGTTGAAAGCCGTGGTGTGGTTATGGGTGGGATCGGTCAGGACGTACTAATGAACCACTGAGTTGCAGATGTCCTTTAGCGCTTCACGTGAAAGGCAGCCATTGACGGTACGCACCATCCCAAAACCTCCGCCTTTCGAACCCATGATCAGCTCGAACATGACCCCGATAGGCTGACCCGATGCAACTAGGTGGAGATTTGAACATGGGTGGTCACGTTGGAAAGGGAATGGAGCGCTCACCAGACAGCAAAGTGTTCACATCTGGTAAAGTAAACACCAAGGGCAATAGGAAAATCAGCCCGAACACCGTGCCGATAGGGATCGACCAGACGATGGCTTTGGGCAGCTCGACAGCGGGGTTATGCACCTCCTCGGCCATGCTCGCGACTAATGTTACAATAAAGATGGCGATACAAGCTCAATCAGCAAATACGCCGAAGAATGGTCAAAGGATCAGCTTGCCCATCCCGATCGCGGCGTATGTATATGCTACGTATACAGAACAATTCAGTGAGATGTGCAATAAGTGAGTTTGCGACATTGTACTCACCAGGCTACCATTCAAACACACCGTGATTGTCAGTCACTCAACGCCGACCAAAGCGCCAAAACATGAGACCATACAGGAAGCAGTCCTATGAAGAATGTCCATCCAGGCACCCATCCAGATGCCGATGCGTCGAAGTGTCCAAGCGCATACGCGGCACTGTGACGGCCGGCTGCTGCTTTGGCGGACGTGCAGATCAAGATGACTATGGTGACAAGAAAGAGTGAGTCGTGAGTGTATCATGAAACGATGGGGGTATCGGTAGCGCACTGAAGATGCCTAAGCCAGTCCAGTAGGCACAGATCGTCTAGGGTAATTCCGAAGTGTGCGAAAACGCCAAGGTTGGAATCGAATATGGAATGGAAGGGACACGCGCTCACGTCGATCATAGGTAGCGCTCTGTTGAAGAAGATGCATACAACACTCGACACCGCGGTGACAGCCAGGAAGATGAGGTCTGTCACACAGAGCCGTTGATTAATCGACCCATAAAGTGATCTCAAGCACAACAGGAAGGAATACGCACAAGTCTGCCACGCCGTTGCGATCCACTCAGAGTGGAATATTCCCGCACCTGCCACAATCAGCTGGCCCGTGCCTGCACATACATGTCAGCCCGCCTCCGTCGCAGCTTCTGTCAGCCAAACGCACCAAAATTGACGCTAAGCGCTATCGTCCAGACACCGACCAGCGTGAGCCAGCCATTCATCCACGACAGGACCACGCGCGCGGGCGGCGGCGCAAGGCGGAAAGTCCAGTAGTATGCGCCCGCAGACGTGGGGAAGCGGGCGCAAATCTCGGCAAGAGAGGATGCAAGCGCGAGCGTGAGCGCGGATACGAGGATCCATCTGTCGAAGTGGATGTCATGAGACAGGAGCACAACCCAGGAATGGAAGCCGTAGCGTGTAGCCAAGAGTGACGTAAAAGAGTGGAAGACAGAACGTGCGTACCCCCATATTATAGTTGCTGGGCCTCCTCCGATAAGGGAGGTTGCGATGGGTGCTGAGAGCCCATACGCTGAAAGATGTTTATGGCGCGTCGGACACGACGTTGACCAAGCAGGTAGGTAAAGGGGGAACTCACGGACAGCCATGATAGCTTCCTCAGGCGCATTGAGGACTAGTCAACGCGAACGTCGAACACGCGGGATGGAAAACTCACCGAGGGTCACTATGTATCTCGCTCCATAAATATCAGGCATCGACAGAGGGAAAGGAATGCGTGCCCACTGAACAAGATATGAAATAGTCCCCGAGACTGAATACCCCAACTTCAGATCCTTCTCCCGAAATATGCTCATAAAGCATCGGCACTCACTCTAGATAGCTCAGGTTTGTACCCCATCTGTTGCAGGCGCTCGCTCGCCAGCGCATCGACGTCAATAGTCTCCATTGCAGGTAGTCGTTTCTCAGACATGACGATCAAGTGGCCAAGGGAGCGAACAGAGAGTCGGTGAGAAGGCTCAGAGGCTGGTAACTATCGAGTGGGAGCTGCAATGGAGCTTGTGTCGCCATTGATAAGCTCGAACACTGGAAGAGGACGCCTGACCGCCATCTGGGGTATAAGCATGATCAGTGAGAATTGATGCAAAATTTCGTGCACACTGCAAGCGCCGCCTCCACCTCAATACGAGAGATGGAGATTGTCATGAGACCTTCATGCATTCATGCATAGCTCCATCTTCAGACGACCATGAAGACATGCAAGAGTGAGTCTGAGAATGAACACCGGTAGGGTTCGGCGCCGGTGGGTCGGCGCATCGGATTCAACATCAGGCGCGGCTGTTACCAGATCTTGCTTCCGTCCTCGCCCAACGTCCACCTCTTAGCTGAGTGATCAACGTTTCAGGGTGGGTTTTGTCTACTGCTTTCAATTGATGTAAGCAGGCCAATCTGACTCAACAGTCATAGTCACCGATCTCATCTAGCAACACACTCTCAGACCCCCGCGCAAATGAATCAGTTTGTGACGCTTCTACTCCCGTCGAGCGGATCCTTAACGAGATCTTACAGATATCTTTCAATATGTACCTTGAAAATGCTAATATAATGCCCTTTTATCCGTTACGCTGTTCGCTTTCAGTGAAGTTGATCCATGTCTGCAGGCTCTGGCAACAGATCCTGCTCAGCGCCCCCAATCATAGTCTCAAATCCCACCTAGATCTCAAAGATGGGCAAAGATTTTTCTAGAGTGATCTAGACCCCATCCAATCCACCTTCTCATCGTGTTCTCCTCAGAACCGTCGTCGTGGCAGACTGCATTGTTCCTCGGAGGATCGGTGGCGTGGCAGACCGCATTGTTCGTCCCAGAAATTCATCGCGTCTCATCGATGTGGATTATGGGATTGTCACTTCTTGTTTAATCATTCATCGAGATTATTACTCTTGACCATCCCTTACTGGATACCTTACATATCTGTGGATGTGGACTGATGACTGAAGAGGTCGTGGTACCTACCAATTTGACGGTCAACTCTCCCAAGCTGCGACATCTAGGCGTCAGAGGAAAATTTCGATCTCGCTTGGGTGTCCGACCTGGCACTGGCAATCTCGGAAAAGGTTAAGGTGACGTGGAACGGTGTTTCCGTGCTCAGAGCCGATGAGACCGAGGTCGAATAAATGACCAACAGTGACTTATGATTGATCATTGCTCTAATTGTACCCGAATACGTATTCGCCGTGTTTAGTGTGTTAGTCCATCATATCGCATCCTATGGTACGTATCCGGCTGATGACTGTCTGCTCCCATAGGAGCTCATCGTCGATCTGCATTCCCGTATGACCGTGTTCTTCCATGTACAAGTTCCAAACTTCCAGTCGCATCCAGTGACTTCTAAAGAAGGGCTGTGATCATGGTTTGTGTTGTATGATCATATATGTATATCTCGCCATACTTCTATTGTATGGTACACAAGCTGAAATCGAAATCTGAAAACAGGCTGTCACCCAAAGAACGCGTTTAGATATACAATGTTTGGAAACCTCCGGCAACACGCGTTCTGTGGTAGGCATGTGTACTATGGGAATGAGTAAGAGTAATTTGACTCCATTCCAACGGATGGCCGTCAATGACACCGAAACTAGCGAAAATCAACGCAGTCTCCTTTGTGTCTGAATAATTCTAAAGAATTGCACATACATACTGTCGTATTTTCTTTTGCTTTCGAATGTCTTTGGTGGCCATCATATGGTGTCACAAACCTAGATGGATAAAGGGCACCCAACGCTCGAAGGCTGCGTTTTCACATTCTGTGCGTAGCTTGATGACGGCTTGATGAAGAGCTTGAGCAGCTCCTGTAGTGCTGGAGCCCTTGCCAATAGTTTGGTCACCAAAAAGTTCAGCATAGAAGTGATCTGCGATGGTAGGCCCATCCTTATCTCTGATTGACCTGCATCATTACGCTCAGAAACGTGGCCCGAAGGAAGCGGGGGTACTCACCACATGGTGGCCACTGCGGTGCGAAACCCGGAGAATAGGAAGCTCGCCGCGAGGTGGATGACTTCATCAGGAAGTCTGTCGTCGCCCATCGCAGTTTGACATGCACTTAGAAAGATCAGCCACGCATTCGGCTTTGGTGTCGCAAGGACACGAGAAATTTTGAGCGGGCCGTCTTCCAAGAGAAGGCAGCTTTCGAGCGGATGCTTGGGATCTTGCTGGCCGTGACATGCAAAGTGAGCGATGGAGGCTTCCAGGAGACTGGCAGTGATCATTTCCACGGAAGAGGGAGCCCCGGGTATACCAAACGCGACCAGATATTCTTCAGGTACATGCTGCTGGATCTTATTCAACTCATCCTTAGCACAAGGCAACTGCCGATACCTAGAATTTGGGGGTTGTATAGTCACTACCATCTTGAACTGATCCTCCCTAGGTGGTGTCAGAGCAAGTAGAGAACTTAAAGTCGGTGTGTATGACGACACGATGTAATCAAGAGCATTCTCGGTCGACGGATGGTTTGGAGCATATATGCCAGCCGCATGAATTGGCAATAGTGCAAACGATCCGGTTTGGCACCACCACAGGCGCGGAGGAGTATTAGTTTTCTGCAAATAAATGGGAATGTACTAAGGTCTCAAAAGAATGGAACAAAAATCGACTCACCTTCACGGCCAAGTGTTGAATGACGGGCTTGACTACACATGTCCAAAGAATGGCTAAGATATCTCTGAAGACGTCGTCTGGTTCTTCAGAAGGACGTTTAGCTCGCCGCTTTGTGTTGTATGCCCGCTCGTCGGGATGCACTGATAAATCCGAGATGCGTCGGTATGCTTGGCCTTTCTCGACGAGGGCCTTCAGAGGTGCTTTCAACGTTTTCATGAAGGAATACATATCGAAGGAAAGCGCTGTTTTTAGTGAGCGGACAAGAACTTCTACATCCGCATGGGTGAGGCTAGGAAGCAAGATAGACTCCACGCCGGAGGACATGACGATCAGTGCGGAAGACGCAGTGTTGCCAGCGATGAGGATGACAACTGGACCATTGGATGCAGCCTTCTGTAGATCGACTAGTCTTTTATGACGTAAGAAATTGCGAAACCCTTCCACCCCCCTAGCCTCTGTAACTGCACGGAGCCAGTCCTCGTTCAGACGACGATATCGAACTTCTTCGGCTTCCATCATCATCACCTTTTGCGACTTGTCTGTGGTGAGTCTAGAGTTCTCCCGCTGAGAGCCCAGTTCGAGCGCACGCGAAATGTTCTCCAATTTCTGCGCCAGCGCCGGCTTGACGAGTCGAAGATCGTCTAACGGAGTACGAAGTTGCAGGGCTTGCGCCCAAAAAATGGCCCGACCTTCTTCAATGAGCTCTACTGCAACTGCTGGCTGGTCGGACCGTATAGCGCAAAGCGCAGCATCGCAAGCCAAGGTGCTATTCCCCGAAATTTGAGATAACACTTCATGTCGCGATGTTAAATCCAAGCCGAGCATCGCTATATGAGGCAAGAGCTGTATCGCAGTCCGAAATGCCTCCAACGCAGATGAGTGGATACCATCTGCATGGTAAGCCCAACGTCGCGCGACGACGAATCGTCTCAATGCACCTGCAGACTTACACGTCGCAGCAGCACGAAATGCTGCCATAGCATCGCCTAGATGATCTGATTTATGGGTTTGTGAATGTGAATGCAAAGACATCAGTACGTCCCCTAGAGTTCCTGCGTAGGTACATGTGGCAGGATCATCTGCTGGGAGTTTATGCACGCATTCGCGGCATGCCCGAAGGGCCTCGTCAAGATCACTGATATCGCCTGTGTTGTCAAACCTCCTAGAAAGAACCCTAGCCAACTCGTTGAGCGACAGGAGTCGATCGGGGTGTCCTGAGGGGCGAAGCTCCAATGCCTCCCGATGAAGACAGACAGTTTCATGCAAGTCGTGAATCTGACCTTGCTTATCAAAGCGCCTTGCAAGCGTGTTAGCCAGATTGTGAAGCAATCGCGGCCGATCAGGATCGAGCGGTGGTATCAGCAACAACGATTCACGATGCAATGAGACGGCTTGATCGATATCATCGAGCTGGCCAATTTTCCGAGATCGTTTGGAAAGAGCAGAACCAAGGACACTCATAGAACCTGGGCGACTGGTATGCTGTTTGGGTAGCTGCATCAGAGCAGCCCTGAACAATGCTATGGCTTCATTGAGGTCTACCTGTTGTCTTGTTTGGTCGAATCGAGCAACAAGAGCATTTGCAAGGTTTATCAGAGAGTACGGCCGCTCGGGATGTGGCGGAGGTAAGAGTAAACGGGCCTCGCGATGAAGAGATATCGCCTCATCGAGATCGTCTATTTGGCCTGTTTGTGTGAATCGTGTATCAAGAGCAGTGGCGAGATTGTTCAGTGAGTGTGATCGCATAGAGTGTGGTGCGGGGCGCAAAATAAGAGCCTCCCGAAGCAATTTGACAGCTTCGTCCAAGTCTGCCAACTCCCCCGTTCGACCGAATAGTGCGCCAAGGGTAGAAGCAAGGTTGCTCAGTGACATCGCTCGATCGGGATGAGGTATAGGTCGACGCTTCAGTGCGTCTCGGTGAAGTAAAAGTGCCTCGTGCAGGTCCTCGAGCTGACCCATCTGACCGTATCGCATGTCTAGAGTATTTGCAAGGTTGTTGAGGACCATGGAACGGTCAGGATGCGACTGAGATAGTAATTTGAGGACCTCGCGATTGATAGCGACTGCCTCTAACGAATCAGCGCGATGACCAGAGTTCTCGAATCGCGTGGTAAGGGCGCTCGACAGATTTATCATAAACTTGGTGCGGTTTGGGTCATGAGCTGACAGTAGAACGAGGGCTTGCCTGTACAGCCAAATGCCTGCGTCAAGATCTGAGGTTTGACCGTTTTGACGGAACGTAGCGACGAGCTCGCCAGCCCTGTAGCCCAACCCATACGCTTCCAATTGGTCTTCCTGGCCTATCATCTGTGATCCGTGATGTCGCGAGACTGCACTATAAAAATCTTGTGGCTGGCCAATGGCGCTGAATCGCGTGAGCAATGCTGCAACAAGTGACGAGGATGCTAGATGGTCGGAATGTGATGTAGGTTGGAGATGGAAGGATTTGCTGTACAACAGTGCCGCCTCGTAAGCGTCTTGTACTTGACCGGTGCAGCGAAAGCGTTCACTGAGCCCTTCGGCCAAGCCGACCAACGAGGCTGAGTATTTGGGATGCTGTGGACCGCGCAAACGAAGAGCATCACGATGCAAAGCAATAGCGAGATTGAGACTTGAGATCTCAGCAGCCTGATGGAATTCTGTCAAAGTAGCAGTCGCAAACACTACCATCTGCGACGATAGACGATCGTCTTCACTGATCGACTGTGAATTCTTTGGAAGCTTTCTGCCTCCAAAATAAACATCTGACTATTGTGGGACTCATGAAACATATAGACGTACCTGAACACACAACCGTACAGTACGTCTGTTTCAGACTTGAGGGAGCTCTTCCATGCCGCTAAGAATTCTCCGCGCAGGCGAATAGCCTCTTCTAGATCTGCAACCTGACCGATGCGATCGAATCTGGTTATGAGGGCAGTAGCAAGATGATGGAGCGATTCAGATCTACGAGGGTGAAGGCGGGGGCGCAATTGTAAGGATTCACGAAGGAAGTAGATGACGGTCTCAAGTGCCGATATTGGACCAGAATCCTTGCTGTTCGAGAGAATGGAGTTCGCAAGGTCGTATATGGCTTGCTCTTGATCCTCAATGACGTCCTGTAGAAGGTTAGTCTGGGTGAGGTTTTCGACATCAATGGATCTGAGGGGCATACATGAGCTTGAAATGCATTTCCATGAATCAGCTGTGACTAAACATGAGAAAATAAAGTGTAAAGTCAAAAACTCGCCATCCTGGCCGGGATCGCTAGGAACATAAGATGCTTGATCTAGATCTTCGGACATCCTTCATCCATGCAGGATTGCACTTGAGGGCGCGCCTTGAAGATTGTGTCCCAATATTCAATGGCCATGCAGCCCAGTGCGAATTAGAAATATGCAGATGTCAAGCGAACGATGTCAGAGTCGAATTCTGGGAGAGTCGTTGGGAAGTTGGGTTAATCCTCCCACGCTCACTTGTCGTAATTTTTGCGGGCCCAAGTTGATTGCTCTCATTCTCAACATGACCTCTTGCAGCCTCAGCCTCTTGCTCAACCAATATCGGCCAAACTCATTTCTCTGAGGGACTTCAGTTACCCGGATATTACCGTGACGTGTACACACATCAGCCGGAGATGGCCGGTTACAGCCGGAGATATCCGGTTGTCTCAGTACCCTACCTAGCACCGCGGCCCGGATCCCTCTGACGCGCCTGGTCAGCCGGATATCTCTGGCGCGCTGACCTCAGCATGCGGCCACTGCAGTCAAAATAGTGAAGCAAACATGGCAAGGTGGGGAATCGAACCTAACATCCCAAGGATCCAAACCACTATCGATCAGACAACATGACCACTACACCACGCTCCCTTGCATAAATATAAAGTCCACTCCACTAAGTACACACAGTATGAACAAGTGATTAACAAAAAACAATGACCGGCCAGAGACATCCTGCTGGGATACAACCGGTTTTTGGCCCTGTGATGCCAGATGAAAGCAATGAAGGGCCGGAAACATACAGCTCAACGCACCTGTAGAGAAAATTACATAATAAGAGACATCTTCACGTATCGAATAACTCAAAACCCTACCTCACGCTTATCGTACTCCCACTTGGGCATTACAACTTACCACTCGACACTCTACACTCCAGATAGGAATGGCCGCTCTGACGTTTATATTGGCGCGCAATCATCTAAATAACATGAATCCTTTTTGAAAACTCCACAAAGCCGTTGTGACGAAGCCGCAAATACCGGGCCGCCTGTCTGATGCAAAGCTTAATTTCAACTCCAAACGCTGAACGTAGCACTTACTTGCGTGCATAGGCCGAGAGCCCAGCCGTTCCCCCCCCCGACGTTACTCGACTCCTCCATAACTCTTCATGGTAGTCGAAGAAGCGTAAGATCCGACACATCTCTTCTTCGACCAACATGAGCTGCTCTTGCCACCGCGTTTTTAGCGCGCTTCGACGGAACCAATGCACCTTCAACACTAAATGACCATAAGTGATGAGGCTGACATGATACAGGGATAGAATGCACTCACTCTCCTCACAGTATTGCCGGATTTCTTCATTCTGGCCCTCGACAAAGTGGAAGTCCGACCAGATCCAGGACGGCTGTCTCTTGCTATCTCCCAGTTGTTGATCCACGGTATATACAGTAAAGGGGACGACGTCGGAGACTTGGAGTTCCCTATACGTGGGGTCTTCTGGCGAGAGACCGAGACTCACGAGTTTGCTACGCGCAAGCCTGTACCTCGATGCTGCAGCATCGACGGCCAGCTTGTGATTTTTTATCTTGAGGTTCGCGCGCGTGTTGTGGATCTGACCAGAACCTGCCCGTTTCTCCTGCTTCACCGCATAGGACGTTATGACGTGAGCCCTCAAATCATCGAGGGCGTCGTTGGCTTGCCCTTGTCATAATCGCCTCTCGACCTCTGCAGCCTGGGACATAGCACTATGGGTGGTGATCGCTAAAGCATAATCGGACGGCAGGTTGACAGCCATGGCTTGGACCCTGTGCCACGCTGCACTCCTCAACGATTGGCTCGCTACGGTGCTGGGCCGCTCTGTGTGTAATGAAGCAGCATTACGTTTTGCCGAGTGTGGACGAGCACCTGCTTCGTCGTGTGCCGTGTGCTTTTCTTGTTCGATCAGCGGCCCGCGAACATTAAATTTGATGGACGAGCAGTTCACTGCGTCACTATCGTTCATGGCTTCATGAATCGCGGGCTGAACATATTGTTCGTGTAGTGCACGCCACGTCTGATGTCGTGTCATAAAGCGGTGTCCCAGCTCCGAGTCCTCTAGCAACTTCTCGTCAGCCAACTCCAACTCGTTCAGAAGATCCTCCCTGCATTCAATGAATCAGACCAGGACACCCAGATGACAAGGATGTGACTCACCTGAGCTTTTGCAACTCCATACCCTCCGCAACTGCTCCCACCATCCCTGCGCCCATGGCATCTACACCGTCTCCACGCCTCTGCAGCAAGCTTAACGCTTGTCTCTGAGTGAGCCCTGCAGAGGGGTCAGCGAGTCGTTTAACGCAGCCCACTTGAGTGACGGACCTTTGTCGTTCCGTGGCTCATACGGGTTGTGCAAGGTATCGTGCTGTTTCATGTCCACCACCTTCTCTAGCCAATTCTGTTCCTCGACCTTCCATTGAGCCAGAGTCCCAGGCTCGATTTGAGTTTCCAAGCGCTGCAGTGCATCCTTCGCCCTGACGTACTCCGTACGCGCTTGGTCATACTTCTTCGATGTGGCCTTCACTGGTGTGGGCACATGAGGGTTAGACTGAGGATAGATAGATGCACAGGTCCACACCTACCGATGCTGTGGGTTCGTCGCACATTCATGTCTGAGTGGTGATCATTGATGACGTCGTGACGATGTCCTGAGGTCATCTCACGAGTGCTGCCTCCGATGTCATTCAAGATCGCCCAGATTCGTTCAGGGGCCTCGCCATCCGTCATCCCCACGCCGGGCAACCAATGGTATGAGAACTTATACCGACATGACGCTTTGTGCGCCGGGAGATGAAATTTCCCGACAGCTGCCACTGTGGTAGGGAATCGAGCCCCAGATACAGCTGGAAGGTGCCCTGTATTATCGCCCATCCATGCCATTCGTTTGTCGAAGTGGATCCGATACTGACAATTGATGTCGTAGCCTGAGACGTGCAAGCGCAGTTCCATCCAACGCTTCAAGCCAGATGCCATCGCGAAATCAACATTGGCAAATCTGGAGAGTGGTGACATCAATCTAGGGCATAATTGCTAAGCGCACTTCAGGGCATACCTTTCCCCCTTTTGTAGGTCTACCCCTCCCCCCGGCAACACGAACATGTGTCGGGCACAGGAAAGACCGACTGTTCCGGATACCTTACCCCAATACCCTCCATAGCCCATGGCTCCAAACTGATGGCACGTAGACGGCTGGAGCACGAAATCAGACAGAGCGGGACCGCCATGATAGATCAGTGCCGTACCTCGCGTTCCATCGGTCCCAGTAGTTTCTGATATGCCTCAAAGTCTCCCTCATGCGCGAAATAGCCCGTGCCCAAGGTCAGAGGGAAGTCGTTGGGATCCAAGGGCTTGATCTTTTGGTTCTGGTGAAAATTGCCATCAATCGTGTGGAAAAGTGCATCCAAGAAGCTGTTTTAACCGTCAACTCTCTGCGACGTGACATATAGAATTGCAAACACAGATACCTCTGCGAGTGAGGTCGCTCACGCCAATTGGGCGCCATGTTGATGTCGGGCTGCGGGCAAGCGGGACAGAGCACTGCCAAACTGCCGATGGTCATGTTGCGAGCTGGAGCCTGGCCGGCGCGTTTCACGGCGACTAGGTACGTCCACTCTCGCATTGTGATCAATAATTCCCGGTAGCGATCCTGGCCCGGCCCGTCAATTTTCAGGAGCTCCGGATAAAGAGATATTGCTCACCGGTGTAGAGTCAGGAAATACATTATCTGTTTTGCGCCTGAGGTACCTCATGAAGTCGTGGGCTGTGATCTGCGATTGCAACGCCAGCAGGTGAAAACTCTTCAGAACCTGGACGGTGAACGCCGTCCTCGGCTTCTCCCACGACCCCGGAAATAAGCCACAACGGAGGAGCTGGAGAGAATCCGGCGTTGCGAGACTGGTATGATGATGAAGGCATTCGCAAAAGTGAATTAGGATGATGGAGATGCCGTGTTCATGGACGATCGTCATTTCTCGAGGACCATTGATTGCTATGGGGCACTTCTGGCTGTCATGTCCTAGGTGCAACCGCAACCCAAGGTCTGCCAGACACTTTTTTTCCCAGAAGCCTTTCTCATCCGTCCACTGCTCGATGCGATGGAAAGGCATGGACTCATGAGTGGAAATCATGCACGACTGGCAGTATTGATGTGTACGCAAGCATTCCACACATCGATAAACAATGAGAGGGCTCCTTGCGTGCCCAGATCCTTGAGGACACCGCGAACATCGCATGTCAGGCGGGGGCGCCTCGACGGCCAATAGCTCGCAGAATGCCAAGGGAGCCCATTCGTCCATGAATTGAGTCATCCTCACAGAGGGTGCCTGCGACAAATCCTGTCAGTGTGTGATTGCATGAAATGCGCATCACCCTTACAATTGTGTTGCTCTGGCGTTTCGGCGGCGTGTCGATGCTCGCCTCCATCATCTCGTATTCTGTGTTGTGAGGTCCATGGAGAGCCCCGGGCTCGGGCAGAGATTCCCAGGTGGGCGTGCCGGGAGCTGCAGGGAGTAGATGGACGCCTCTCATGGCAGCCCATGGGTCACACTTGGCATCCGAGGAGAGGCCCGTGGACGTCTGGGTCAAGGAATGTTGAGCGCCGCGATCCGACGTAAATCGGATCCTTTTGGAAGGCGATCTCTGAGTAGAGGAACGTGATGGCATCGCAGTGTTGTCTGGCCCTCAAGTGAGCCGCTCGGTTGTCGTCTCAACGTCATGAAGATACGTACTGTGGTGCGAGATTGCATGTAAGGGAAGCAGGAGAACCCACGGATGTCCTGTCGACGGGGCTCGCTGGCGGTCGTGCCGTCAATAAGGCGTCCTAGTACTTGCGAAAAATGTTTGAGGAATCAATCGCGTGGGGGGGCTCGCCCGTGTCGGTGAGACGAGTTTCACTCAACTCGTCGACAACGGAACCTCAACGTCCGTGAGACGGAGGCAGGATTTCGCGCCCGAAAGGCGGAAAGCCGTTGCGACGAAGCAGAGGAAGAGGAGGTGATCGTCCGCGTAGACAGTGTTGAGGTGAGAGCCTTGTCAAATCCTTGTGAAGTCTGTAAGGAAGTAAGTTTGGAGCGCTGAGGATCAACGAAAGATCGTACTGGATCCAAACTGGTGGAATGTCAGCGTCGGGGTTGGCAGCGATACAACGAATAGGGGGGAAGGAGAGAGGAGCTGACCTGACAGGAGCAATAGCACACCTATCGGTCTGAAATGGTGGACGTTGGACTTCGACAAAATTTTCCTCGTGCCATGCAGCACGTGCAAGCTATTTGTCATCATCGCGGCGCTCTGGGGGCCAACCCTAACCACTCCCTCACACACGGCGATTCAACAATCGATTTGCTTCCGTTCCCCACACTGGAGTGCCCCTGATCTCGCTCACCGTCGTCCTCCTCACCTCCTATACTGCCGCGCCCCAACCACGGCCACTCACTTGTCCTTCCCGGCATCGACCTCCACCACCCAAGCATTCCCAAGCCCCTTGAGTACAACCGCCGCGCCGTGTAACCTAATCTCAGGTGAGTCCTCTATCGGCGCCCTCGCCGCCTGCATTTCCTCACTCTGTGACATTCATCTCAGAAGCTAACCCAGGGGCGGTCAGCCAATCCCTCAGCATTTTGACCTCAACTGCTCCCCCGGACGGTAAGCAAACAGTGTTCGTCGTCTTCACCCGTGACTCAACCAGTTTATGCAACATATAAGCCAACGCCTCAAGCCTTGGCCTCCCTTCAAAGCCGACCTGTGCCGACTCTCCCTGGACCCCCCTGTACCCGTCATTGCAAGTCTCCGCCTTTCGGGCGCGAGACACCACCTCTGTCTTTCGGACGTGAGGTAGCCTGACGGGCACCGACTCACCGACCCACGCACCCACGTGCACCCTCCGCAAGCTCTGGAGGCGGATTATCCTCCTGGCAGCCTCAGGAAGCCTTCAACAACGTCCTAACCTAACCCGATCAGGAATTCCGAGGAAGCCCTCGCGCGTCACACAACTAACCTTTTGCAAAATAAGGTAGGCCCACTTGTGATGCGAGTTCTAACCTGCATTGATTCATGATCAATTGCAGAACGCTCTCTCGTGAGAGAGTATACCCTGTGTCCTATGATGGCAGATCCCAATTCCACGTAAGTGCGTGGTGAATAACGTAGTGAATGAGGACTCACCGGTATCGTACAGCGATTACAACCCGACGCCCTTCACCTCTATGGCGCAGGTGCTCGCCCATCGCCAGCCTTTGACGGAGGGCATCGTGCTGGCGCACAATGACTGCCTCACTTTGGCGCCCTTTCCCAACAGCAATGGGGGCGTGTGGATTTCGTCGCCCAATGTGGAATTCGTCCCAGAACTTCCCATGCATCGTCGAGGCCAACCCCTTCGGTTCTACGCCGATGGAATGCTGGGCGCCTTCGAACATGTCAAGTGGCCGCAAGTCTTCGATGAGCAGGAGCCGCACACCCTGGCGGCGCCGGGGAACCCGGACCTGATGTTCAATCTCAAATTCCAGGAAAATCCATTGCTCGACTTGAAGTGCACGCTACCGGATTTCCAGCATCCGGCCATCGCCTGGGAAGGCCTCGAGGACTCCGACTTTGTTGTGTCTCTTCACCTGCCCCACGAGGACGTCGGTTTCCTGGCTCCACCCCTACACGGACGCTTGTGGTCAGCGGCCAACGAAATCATTGTGATGGTGCTTAAGGTGGTGGATACGGAGCTGGACAGCATGTTTGCACACCGAAGTGATCGAGAGCAGTACACGGAGCGCCGCAAACATTATGTTCTGCGGGAAATTGACTACCTTCGACGCGCTTGCTCTCGTCTTCAAGAGACCCCCATGTCTTACTTCGACGTGGTGTTGTGGTATCGAGACACCCAACGCCTCATTCTCGGATTGCGTGCGTGGTTAATCTACATGACGATTATCAAGCCACGCCTGGACAACCCGGAGTTTGCAGACTATGACAACGTACTGCCGCTCCGAGGGGTGTTCACGAAAAAAGAATCAATCGTGCACACCATGCACCGGTGTGGAGTGCCAGTGTGGTGGGTGCGCCCTTTGCACACCCTCACGACACGGACGACCATTATTCGTGTTCATGAGCCGATCTTGCCGATCATCCATTTCAGCTCGGAGACGGTGATGTCTCATCGTGGTCGCCAGTTGGTTGCACCGGACTTCATTGAGGCCAAGATTCTCGATGAAAGTTTACAGGGTTTCGGGGACATGCTTCGCCGATACAGCCTCACAGGCAAGCCAACCGTTCGACGCGCCGTTCCTGTTCTTGAGGTCGATCGTCAAGGACTAGAGGATCACATGATAGAAGAAGATACGGAGGCTGGGATGGCTGAGATCCAGCGAGGTCCGTGGGTCATTTGTGGGTGATAACAATCGAGACTGACCATGTGCCTACCAGATGACCATGTGGCCGGGGGCTCTCCAAGTGGTGCGTCATATGCCCTCATATGGATTTTCCGATGGCCCGATCTGACAGCCCGATGTAGACTCCCGAAAGAAGAGAAAGGGCCCCCGAAAAGGGCACCGGCGAGCCCCTCAAGCCACACGTCCGCCGGGCAACCGCCCGCATTGGATGTGTGAAGTAGCGAGTCCATGGAACGTCATTCTGGACGCGGCACCCGCACTGGCCAAACCGGATTCGAAGCGAGCCCTCACGTACATACTCCCTCCCTTGCATCTGTTCTTTGCCGAAGGCGACGCGCATGCCCAGAAGGTCCAGAACTGGCTGCGCATACGGGAATGGTGCCTGTTTAAGGCTTATGCCAATGTGGACCAGGCACCAGTGTTGATGACAGCCGCGCAATGGCGTATTGCGCTGGAGGGACGGTACTTTGCCGTACATTATCCTAAGGATGCGGCGATTCAACCCCAATCATCTCGCGAGGATATCGCATGTTTGCATGAAGCCCCGGAGGGTACCACCAGTCTGGGGAAGCGCGGGCGGGCAGATGCGCGGTCGGGCGACGGGGCGCAATTGAACACGACGGATAGGCGTCGGCTCCGGCGACTTATGGAGCGGGTGGACATACACGTTCGATTCGGCGTGCATGGTGGATTTAGCCCATATGTGCCTGACGACACCCCTCTGCCCAAGTGGGAGAAGAAGCCCATCGATTTCCATCAGGCCTTGGTGGACAAACGCCTGTGGGCGACATTGACATGGGAGATATCGGTCACGATGTTCCGCCTCGAGCTATTGGCACTCGACCAGGAGGTGGTACCAGACTTGTACAATCTGGCCAAGACCAAGCTCCGTCGTCCGCGCCACTTCGACATCATGAGCATATGGAACGACGAGTGCAGAGTGTGGGAAGAACCAGGGAAGGATTCCCAGGACTGGCTTACCTCGCCAGAGTGGAGAGTGCGGCGGGCAGCCATCGGTCGAATGCTGTTCGCGCTAGAGGCTTGGCCGATTGAGGAGCCCCGTCTCCCACGGTGGGATGAGCGCAAAGAGCGGCAGGACACGTTTGCAGAACTTGAGAAGGAGGTAGTATTGTACTACTGCCGACGTTTCTATTCCCTTCGAGGGCGATCCCCGACATTTCCACTCATGCGACCTTATTGGCTTCCCCCCACCAAAACCGTCCTATATTAGCGTTTCTACCTCCTCCACAAGATTTCATGTCAGCTTATTTACAGTGTATCAAGGACTTAAATTGTATAGTTCTGTTTCGCATTTGTTCGCCATGAAACATGCCGCGTAGATTGGATCACAAGAGAGCATTGCAAAACATCTCCCAAGAGTGATACGGAAACGCGGGAGAGTCGTCCTACCGGGCAGCGATGCTGACAAAATTTTCTGTAGTCGTCTGAGTCATGCCTATAAAATCTGGGTGTGCGACTCGCAAACAGGACCTTCCTCTCATCCTCCACCATGGCTATCAGGAAATGGCTGTCCTGTGAAAAGGAACTCATCCGCACCGTGTTCATCAGCCCCACGGCCCGCGAGATACTCCAGAACTCCAGCAAAGGGGCATTGAAGCGTGTTGCGGGCCTCATCACCACACGCTACAAAGAGGCTTTCAACAGACCTTTCGCGGCCGAAACCACCGCGGAGTTTGCAGTACGACAAGCTGCCGAAAAGCGGCCCCATCGTCGACATCTACTTGTCAAACGAGTGGCTGAGTCGGAGGCTGAGTGTGATAGCCGTTTGGAAGGGGTTTCCACCGTGAGTTCTTACGAAGAGGGCGAGTGTCCGCGCTTGACTGATGACTATTCAAGCGCATTTACAACTGGTGCAAAGCGCACAGCGAGAATCGCAAGTCCGCCCCTGTTGTAGTGGTGCAGCCGGTAATCACAGGCGTCGTGAGGAACTACACCGCGCGCTCGTTGTTCAAGGCTGATCACCCCAAACGCCCGGAGGCGGTGGCTGGAGAATCCGTGGGACAGTGGTCGACGCGCGTCACCGTAGCATTCGACACTCTCACGGGTGAGGAAGTCGCGGAGCTGGAGGAACAGGCATTGCTGCTTAACTCGACACGCAAGGAGGCCGCTTCTGCGCCGCGCAGTGAATACTTACGTGGCAAGTGAGTGAGACTTTTCGTGTGGATTGGGATCGTCACTCAGTACATGCGATTTGCGGAATCGTGCACCTCAGGAAAGCCAAGAACATGCCCACGACAATTAAAAAGACGATGGAACATTGGTATGAGGAAACTGGATGGGTGGGGATGGTGATGATGGGGGGCATCGGCATCAATGGTGATATCAACGCGCACGTGTGAGTCCCCCACGCCCGATGGACCATACAATGTCATTAATAAGGATGCAGCGAATGCACTGGTGTGGATGCCGATTCAAAAAACTTTGAGCGGGCGTTCACGAGCAAATCGGGAGTTTCAAGGCAGCGTTTGCATAGTTTGTTTTGGGCATTCCTGGAAAGCATTTATGATCGTGAGTAGCTGGTCGTCTCGGGCTGATAATGACTGACAACCTTTGATAGGGCTTCCAAGCGAAGGTGTGCGCTCTTCTATTGCGGCGGGTTCATCTGCGGCGGACGCGTCGATTGCCGCAGCATCACCTGAGGCGGACTCCTCGAATGGCGCACTATCGGTGGTCAACAGCTCAATTGCCGTAGCGTCACCGGAGGGGGAGCACTCGAATGGCACACCATCCGAGGCGCACAGCTCGATCGCCGCAGCGTCACCGGAGGGGGAGTCGGGAGATTTTTGGCCAGGCGAGGTGGACGGCAGTGCTGCTGAAGTGAGGCCTTGGATGGAGCCTGGCCCTGCACAGACGAGCGACTCAGTAGACGGCGCGAAGACGGTTGGGATGGGTTCCCTGCCAGAGCCCCATGGCCAAGTAATCTCTGAGATGGGATTAAAGATTTTGGCACAACGCTGTGTGGCCGCTCAAAATGAAGACGGGCCCGGCTTGGTCGCCCACTCTAGTTTACCACACACACTTCCCGGGGTGCACGCTGCTGATGAGAACGTGCAAGGCGATGATACGGCATCAGAGTCGTCTGGAGGGTTGCACGACCCCAGCGTCGTCGGTGAGTTGGGATCAGCAGTCACTCGAGGACAAGACACGAGCATGCGCGAGCCGGCGCTGCGGGTCGATGGAGATGTGGGTCGTGGGCGTGGGCGTGGGCGTGGGCATGGGCGTGGGCGTGGGCGTGGGCGTGGGCGTGGTCAGATTGGCGGGCGTGTGGGGACGATCAATGCTGCTAGGGCGGATGTCAGCAGTATGGGGATAGACACATCGGACGAGGACGAAGGCGGGGGTGTGGAGAGTCATGCGGGCGCACCTCGTGTGCGGTTTGTTGGCCCGGTTGAGAGTGTAGTGGGGAGCACGCAATCGCCGGTGATTCCACAGGGAGTTGAAGGACGACCACGCTGTCGCGCTCGCACATTGTTAGGCATCAAATAGTGATGGTAGAATGGAGGGCAGAATATCTGACTAGAAGAAAGAAAAGAGAAACAACCTGGAAGGGACAGGACATTTAATTCCGATTTTCTACATATTTTTCGAGTATTTTACCACTTAAACTTGATTTCCTATCCCTTTTCATACTTATAATTCGCTTTTGGGACAGATTCCAGAGCCTAGGGTCTATTTCAGAAAGGGCTAGACCATGGCAAGACAATAAGGAATGGAAAGAAAGCAGTGGAATCTGGTAGAATAGAAGGGAGCTTTAGTAGAAGGATGGAGAATGTTTAGGAAAGGGGCAAGGTCTAGGGCATTCCAAGCTGAAAGGAGGGGAAGGTTCTGAGCAGTTCTGAAGGAAGCTGAAGGAATATTCTACCACATTCTGAGCCTTTCTTTTACTTTCCTTTCTGTTCCTCTGCTTTCCTCCTAATTCTTTTTATTTCTACAGCATTCTTTGTGACTCACAATGACTCTACTCAGCCTGTATATACTAGGAAGGAGATTCCCACTTGAAATAGTATATAAGGAGGCTGAATGTCCTGCTTCAGGCAGAGACCATCTCTCCCTCTTACTTTTACTCAGTCAGTCAGTGCCAGTCAATAAGTTCTTTGAGTGATATCAGTTGGAGATAAGCTGCAAGACTTGTAGGGATACTAGACGAACTAGTAGCTCGCCTTCAATCTGTGTAGCACCTCAGCAACTTGAATCACAAAGTTCTTAAGCCTCTCCTCTTTATTCTCAACGTTTACGGAGTATTGTCTTTGTTAGTGGTCCGGCACCACTTCAGAAATTCGCTAAATAGCTCAGGATATTCTCATCATTGCCTATAACTGTGACCAACATCTGTGTATCGTGCCAACACCAGAAGGTATCATCTAGAACAGCAATCAAACGAACACTAGGTACATCCGGAAAAACAGGAAACCCCGATCGTATCTAGGGGAGAAACCATTCCTCACCGCGACATAATTGGAGCCCACCGCGAGGGGGTATTGTTGCCGACATTCTAGGCTATATACCTTCACATCGTTGAGGTATTTTCACACAGAAACTATTATTTTATCGAATATTCTTTGGTCACTAGTCAGTCATCAATACATTCATCATGTCTCAAGGCTTGCAACCTCCCACAATGGGTGGTGGTCATAACATCACTACAGCACCTACCAACCCCATCATCAATACCGCAGAATCCATTCTTACCCTACCTCTTGTTGGAAACAAGAAAGCACCGAAGAAGTTCACTGGAGATTACAGAGAAGTCTCAAGGTTTATCAGACACTTTGAAAGGTTGTGCCAACAACATGACATCACTTCAGACCAAGACAAGTGCGAGACTATTAGACTCTACTGCTCTACAAGTGTTGTTGAGTTCATTGAAGGATTGAAGTCATTTATTGATGGACAGTGGGATGCATTGAAGAAGGATCTAGAGAAGTACTATGATGCTGCTCTCTATACTCAGCGTTTCAAGAAGAAGGATCTTACAGAGTTTGTGAAGAAGACCAAGTACAAGCGTATGGGAGACCTAGCAGCATGGTGGAGATATGCTAGAGATTATATCAAGATTGGTGGATGGTTAAAAGGAAAAGGTAAGATTACTGAAGATGAATTGAATACTTACTTCTGGGCAGGTATTGGACGTGGTCTGCGGTCTAGGATTGAAGCAAGACTGCTTGCATCTCAGCCCACTAGGGATAACTCTAAACCCTATCTTATGAAGGAGGTATCAGATATTGCGGAAAAAATTCTGCAGAGAGAAAAATTCGACGAGTATGTGGAATCGGATGACAGTGATGAATTTGGAACAGATTGGTCTGGCGATTCAGAATCTTCAACAGAAGAGAGCACAGATGAGGATATCAGGGTAGTCGAGGCAAGGAAAGCCAAAGCAGAGAGGAAGAAGAAGGAAAGTAGGAAGAAGGTTAGATATGAGAGGGAGCATCAAAGTCGCATGAAGGAACCAAGAAGTGGGGAAGAGCGCAGACCAAAAAGAAGAGGTACACCACCTCCTTCTGCTGCGAAACTAAGACAGAGTGAACAACAGGACGAGATTGAAGAACTCATCAAGCAAATGAGCAAGATGAACATCAATGATCCAACTTATGGCTTAGTCTATTATAGGGCATTAAAGCTTGATCCAACAGTTGCGGCAGTCGTGCGGGCTCCTAGATTAGATACACCTCCACCATCAATCTTGCCAGATCGTAGAGCTCCTGCTAGAGAAGCACCACCCCATATGATGTCAGGAATTTCTCAGCCAAATTTCCCACCTGCTAGACCACCAATCTCTGAAATGATTTGCTTTGGCTGTGGTGAAAAGGGCCATGGAATTTCAAACTGTGCTAAAGTTGCAGAACTAATCAAGGATGGAATGCTTGCTAGGGATAATGGAGGAAGACTTACTCATGGAAATGGAGCAAGAATCCAAAGATTCAATGGGGAATTCATTATTCAAGCTGCTGAACGCGAAAGGAATCGATCAACTAGAAGTAATCTGATCACCATTGATGGAGGTTCAAGCACACCCAATCATCATTCCTATCACACAGCAAGGTTCACTTCAGATCTGGATTCAGAATTTGATTCAGACGCAGGTTCAGAGGATGAAATCTATATGGTACAGCAGACAGAAGGCAGCTTATGGGATGTATATCCAGTCGAAAGGACAGAGAAGACTCTGCACAAGAAAAGAAAAATGGAGTTTGACGGAGTATACCCACCACCCAGAAATAAATCTCAAGCTAAAGAGAAACAGAAAGAAAAGGAAGAAATTCCTAGGCCGATCGAAGTAACTAGAATTCCTGGAGAAAAGGTTGGTCATCCTCAGAGGTGGAAAGGTAAGGAACCTGAAAGAAGAGGAGTGCAATGGGAAGAAACAAGAGGAAGGAAGGAAGAAGAAGAAGAAGAAGAGGAAGAGTTACCTTCAATTAAAGTGCACCGCGATAGTGATGGAGCAAGAAGAACTCAACAAACTGAGGGATCAGGAAGTCGGGCAAGTATGCCTGAGAATGTGCTACCACCAAGAGTGATGGAGCCAAAACGTAGAAAGGTGGAGATCACACCAATAGAAGAACCAATGAGGTTTGATCCCAACAATGATGACGATTTTATTATGGAAGATGCTACACAAGGTACTACAAAAGAGGACAAAACCAAGAGAAATCCTGCTAAGAAGAGGACACCTCGGCAGTCAGTGATTTCCACTATCGTAGACCCTATGGCAGTGCTCGGACAAATCTTGCGGTCACCAGTCCAGTTGCCTGTCGGAGATATTTTAGGCTCGTCAAAAGAACTGGCTAATCTGCTTACCAAAAATCTGCGGCCGGTTACATCTTCGGAGGTAGAAGGAAAGTCTCTGATGGCCAAAAGGGATCAACAGGAAAATTCAAAAGGAAAGGAAAGAAATACCTTGGAGAATGAATTGACAGATGATCAGTCGCATAGACCATTGATCAAAATACCAGTTGAGATCAATGGCATAATTCTTGAAGGAATATTTGACACTGGTTCGAACATCAACATAATCAGTAAAGATGCTTGGCAACGAGCTGCGCGTTGGCCGATGAATATGAAACGAGGGATAACAATGAAAGATGCAAACGGAGGTGAAGGTTACTTACCGGGAATGCTAGCAAATGTTCCGCTCCGATGCGGGAATATTCAAACGCGTGCCGATTTATTTGTGGCGCCGCATGTGTCGTTTGAGCTCCTGCTTGGTAGGGCCTGGCAAGAAACTAATCTAGTGGCTCTAGACGAATTACGAGATGGTACTTACCTTTTGTTCAAAGATCCAGGTGATCCAGACGAAATTTTACACCAGTATTTTGTGGGACCGCGTCGGGGCCCGAGTGTGAGTACCACTGGTATAAATGGAGCTGCCAGGAATAATAAGATAGGACAAGTCAATAAAGTGGATGCAGGGAAGGGAATAGAAGTAGGGGACTCACCGAGTGATAACAACTCGAGAACGGATCGAGAAGGGTCGAGTATGGGCGAGAATCAGCTAGAAAAGGCTGGAAAGGAAGAAAAAGAGTTAGCAAGGGCAGACGAACAAAAGAAAGTATCACAGGACCGGATGGAGGGACGCGTCACCGTAGGAGCGAGAATTGAAGAGAAACACCTAGAAATAAAAGCAAAAGGTATAAGTAACAGGATAGCTAAAGAAGAGGACGTACCGGCATCCCTTTCCACTATGTCTGGCACCGCAGAGATACGCCTTGACTACATACCGCTCGTTGAGACGGTCGCAAACCTACCGCTCCCAACGTGGGATGGAGGCGCGAGGCAGACAGCGCTTCAGGCTATTCAGCAAGCGCTCACGGAAATTGGATACCTACGGCGTACTCACCAGCTCACTGACCAGATTTTGACCTCACCTTATTCTATCGCTCTTGATGCCGGTATTGAGAATGGATATACCTATCATTCCTCGATCATGCTACATGTTGCTCAGCTGTCTTCGCATCCCGGGGAACCTTTGTCGTTGCGGATCGGCCATTCGTTCGTCAAGACGTATTTTGGATTGTCGGGAGGGGTGTCGGAAAGGGTTGAGTACCCTACGCTTCGAAGCCAGGTACTGTTCTTCAATACGGAAAATCCTGTGAATAGAATTGTGAGCGGACAGCTTACTGAAGAAGAAACGCACCTACAGGGTAATAATACGGCGCTGACAGGCATTCACGCACCTCCGGTCATTGAAGCGATAGAAATCGACTCACCAGCTCCAACTCTACAGTTACCGGAAGACAACGAACTTGAGGACCAGGAGCGCGAAGGACCTATGGTTGGACCAGTGTCAGTACAGGCAAATGAAGGGATAGGGTCGGTGCGTTTTCAGAGGCTGCTTGAGAGGATCGAGGCGATTAGAAGGGAAAGGGAAGGAAGGGTTTTGAATGAAAGGGAGGGAGACTGGATGGAAGGTGACGAGAGGCGTCAGAATATAGGTCAGGGGGACGGACCTTTCAACGATGGAACCATTGATCCTGGACTGCTCATGG